ATTATAATACCCTCTGCAAGGGTATAATGATTTGAATGCACCGGTTACAAGTCGAACCATAAGAAATAGGCTGAATTGAAGCCGATCTAAAAGCCCATTCACATCGAAAGGTACCATACCTCAGCAAGAAAAATATCGACAAACGTGTACATTTCGCGAAGGTGCATTTATTGCGCTCCAATTGGAAAAATATGTTGTGGTCGGACGAAACCAAGATGAATTTGTTTGGATCTGATGGGGAACCACATGTATGGCGCCCTAAGAATACCGCCCACGATCCAAAGTCCTCTATTAAAGCCGTTAAACATGGAGGTGCGAAACTCATGTTGTGGGGATGCTTTTCCCAGTCGGGTTTTGGTCCAATACATTGGTTAAAGCAGGATAATGACCGGAACCATTCCTCGAAGCTGGCCAAGAAATGGTTTGTAGATTACGAAGTTCCCTTGATGGAATAGCCTTCGCAGTCCCCAGACTTAAATCCTATAGAGCACCTTTGGGGGATAATAAAGAAGAGGCTTAGTGGGTTTAAGTCCAAAACTAGGGAAGATTTGTTGAAGAAAGTGAATTCTGAGTGGTACTCCATTGAACCATCAATTTGTGCCAATTTGGCGGATTCAATGGGACACCGCTGAACCAAAGTCATTAAAAATAGCGGTGACACAACTATATATTAAAGTTACCATCTAAACTAATAGGCTTTGAAGCTACAAAACTGTTTTTCATAGAATTAACTCAGTCGTTTCTATTATTTTTTCCAGGCCTAAAAATTTTAAAAATTATTTTTTAGTTCATAACGTTTTTTGAAAATTATTGTTTTGGTATATTTTGACACATAATTGAATCAACTATCAATCAAAATTATTAAACTTAAAAAAAAAAAAAATTGACTGAAGAAAAGTTTAAAAAATACGAAAAAAAATTGTAGTTTCTATTATTTTTTCCATGACTGTATATTCTTGATCAGGATCACCTCCTGAGTTGATATAAGCATGTCCGTCTGTCTGTTTCTACGCGAACTAGTCTCTCAGTTTTAAAGATATCGAATTGAAACTTTTAACACACCCTTCGTTTCTTTGCACGCAGTATATAAGTCGGAACGGCCGGGATCGGCCGACTTTATCCTATAGCCGCCACATAACTGATTGATCGGAAATGGTGTTTGTAAAGTTAGGAAGTTTGGATTTTCTAAGGGTTTTATTTTTGGTCAATCAATCCGACCTACCTAATTTCATAAGGATCGGCCGACTATATCCTATAGCTGCCATATAACTGAACGATTGGAAATGCTACAACTTTGGTGCTTTTATACCCTTGCAGAGGGTATTATAATTTTGGTCAGAAGTTTGTAACGCAGTGAAGGAAACGTTTCCGACCCCATAAAGTATATATATTCTTGATCAGGATCAATAGAGGATTCGATATAGCCACGGACGGCAATCGGACGTCTATATCCTATAGCTCCCATAGGAACAATAGGGTGAAATCGGTTAAAATTTAATGATTTTTAGGATATTTCGCGCAGTATATAAGCTATTGACATGAATCTTTCCAAATCGTATTTTTTTTATGCATACCTTGATTAGAGTAAAAGCGCGTGACGATCGGACGTCTATATCCTATAGCTCCCATAGGAACAATAGGGTAAAATCGGTCCAAATTTGATGATTTTCAGAATTTTTCGCGCAGTGTGTAAGCGAATATTCGTTATATATTAAAACCAGAATAAAAAACTTTTATGGGTCTGACACCGAATATTTGCGGCAGTACTGGTCGCTCTATCTGTGATTTTATTAGCTTATGGGGAATGCCGCAGACTGATCAAAATGGCTGTACATATATACTTTGCATTGTTTGCGCAGTATTAATAATTGCTAGAAAAGTTGGAGGATGCCTTTGGTGAATGCTGCTCACACTGAAACAAAACGGCTTGGGTTGGGTTCGTGCTCGTTTTTATTGCGCAAATATTTGTGTAAATTATTTCCTAATTTAGCCGGCATTCGGGCAAAAATTACTAAATTAAATGGCTGCTTTGACAATAATAACGCCACAATTGTCAGATTAACCAGATGCCTAAAAACTGTGATTTTCTGTTCCTGCACTTTTAAAAAGTTTGCCTGAGGTAAGCAAATGTATTAAAAATAGTATATTAGTAAAACTTAAATAATTAATAATTTCAGAAAAAACAAGAAAGGAAAGCTAACTTCGGGCGAAGCCGAAGTTGATATACCCTTGCAGAATACTCTGTAAATTATATTCTCCAAAATTATTCATATGATGCATTCTTAATACTCATACAAAATCCAAACTTCCTAACTTTAAAAACACCAAAGTTATGGCATTTCCAATCGTTCAGTTATATGGCAGCTATAGGATATAGTCGGCCGATCCTTATGAAATTTGATAGGTCGGATTGATTGGCTAAAAATAAAACCCATAGAAAATCCCAACTTCCTAACTTAACAAAAACCAAAGTTATGGCATTTTCGATCAATCAGTTATATGGCAGCTATAGGATATAGTCGGCCGATCCTTATGAAATTTGATAGGTCGGATTGATTGGCCAAATATAAAACCCATAGAAAATCCCAACTTCCTAACTTAACAAACACCAAAGTTATGGCATTTCCGATTAATCAGTTATATGGCGGCTATAGGATATAGTCCTCCGATCCTTATGAAATTTGGTAGGTCGGATTGATTGGCCAACTATAAAACCCATAGAAAATCCCAGCTTCCTAACTTTACAAACATCAAAGTTATGGCATTTCCGATCAATCAGTTATATGGCAGCTATAGGATATAGTCGGCCGACCCTTATGAAATTTGGTAAGTCGGATTGATTGGCCAAATATAAAACCCATAGAAAATTCCAACTTTCTAACTTTACAAACACCAAAGTTATGGCATTTCCGATCAATTAGTTATATGGCAGCTATAGGATATAGTCGGCCGATCCCGGCCGTTCCGACATATATACTGCGTGCAAAGGAAAGAAGGGTGTGTGCAAAGTTTCAACTCGATAGCTTTAAAACTGAGAGACTAGTTTGCGTAGAAACAGACAGACGGACAGACGGACATGGCTATATCAACTCAGGAGGTGATCCTGATCAAGAATATATATATATTATCACTCGCTTCATCGGGAATAGCTGCCCTGTGGAAGAACTGAGCATTCAGCTCTGAAGTTGCCATTGAATATGCAAATCATCGAGAATTCCACATAATTTATTTCCAGAGAAACGGGTATGGGAAAAGTTTTACAGACGCTCTTGATCGATCATTGCACGATTTGAGAAGAAACGCTTAGCAATTCGGGAAAGGATTGATATTACTCTCAGGAGATTTAAGGCAAACGTTACCAGTAATTTCTCGATCGACACCAGCCGACGAAATAAATGTTTGCCTGTGGCGACACGTATGTATGTACATACATACATTCATTGAAGTTGACGACAAATATGCGTGTTCAGCTGCAGAACGGAGGAGTTCTCACGACAGTTACTGGACATTGGGAACGGAAGACTGCCAGTCGATGAAACGTCAAGAGAAATATCATTACATTTTTGAAATTTAGTTTCATCCAAAGAAGAACTCATACAAAAAGTATTTTCGAATATTGAAAGAAATTATAGAAATCACGACTGGTTCAGCGATCGAGTCATACTTGTCGCCAAAAATAAAGATGTCTATCAACTTAATAATGAAATTCAATTGGGCATTCAGGCTGTGGAAATTATGTATGTACATATAAGTCAATATATACCGTTGTGGAAATAAAAGAAGCCGTAAATACCCAACGGAATTTTTGAACTCACTTGATCTGCCAATCATCCTGTTGCGAAACATCAATCAACCGAAACTCTGCAAAAGGACGCGACTGGCAGTCAAGAAATTAATGAACAATCTAGTGGAACCAACAATAGTAGTGGGCCCATTCAAAGGTGAAGATGTCCTAATCCATAGAATTCAAATAATTCCAACCGATACACCTTTTCAATTTAAAAGAAAAGTTCACAATTAGATTGGCATTCGCAATAAAAATCAATAAAGCCCAGGGGCAAACTTTGGAATTATGTGGCTTAGATTTAAGTGCGAATTGCTTCTCACACGGTCAATTGTATGTTGCGTGTATGTAAGCCAACAGCCAATAGCCATTTGTGCCAAAAACGAAACAACAACAAACATTGTATACCCACAAGTGTTACAAAATTAAATGGTTATGAAACTTTTGCTTTGTGTCTTATTATTTATTCCCAGAACACCCTGCAGTAAAAAAAGTTTAGCAGATAACTCAAAATAAAAAGGTCATGCATCAAAATTTTAGGAATGCGAAAAAAATGTTTGAATTCGTATCATGCTGAGGATGGTGAAATTTTAATTTTATCAATCTAAAAAAAAAATGGAAATAAACATACAGGGGTGGTCAAAAGTATTTGCACAAATTACACGTACTTACTCATAAGAAATGTGCAAATACTTTTGACCACCCCTGTACATACTTATGTATGTCAAAGTCCAGCGATAAGAACAATTCTTCAGAAATTTTAATTTGTGCCATTTTAACGACGTACGATTAACGCGTTATCATTAAAATATAGCTATAAAAAATTTTTAAATTTAGAAGAATTCATGAAAAAATTGATCAGCGAAAATGAACTGTTTTGAGCTGAGCTGAAAACTAGTATCATTCGTTTCATAAATCTCGTGAAATGCAGACTTATTTCGCTCTGCTTTCTTTGTTCGGTTTGTTAACTGGCCACCAGGGAACTTCTTTTTTGTTAGATAAACAGTGTGGACATTTAAATTCAGCCAGAGTTGTAAATGGAGTTAATGCAGGAGAAAAATATGCTGTCTGGATGGCAGCCATACGAAATAAATCTGGTTTTCTGTGTGGCGGCACCCTGATTCACAAACGTTAGTACTTTTTAAACAACTTACAATTACCCAATAATATTAAACTTAATTTTTAGGTTTTGTTTTAACTGCCGCCCATTGCATAGATGGTCAAGAAAACCTGTAAGTAATAAACATTTCATAAGTGAAAATCACCGGAAAAATCTGAAGTAAATTATCGATTTTTTTTGTAAGCTTTGCTACGAATCGGCTTATCGCCGTTTCACAGTTTCCTTTATTTAAGGATTTGAGTTTTATTTATTGAGTTAGTGAACATTTTAAAGACAATCAATTTGAAATAATATGTATTTATATTGATTGCAGATCAGTAAAGTTGGGAGTATACAGAAAAAGTGACCCTGCCCCTGAGTACAATGTCACTAGAGCAGTAGTGCACAGATTATACAACATAAATCATCAGCATGATATAGGTCTGCTTAAGTTATCGAGAAGCGTAGTGTACAGTGGTATGTGAAAGCCAGTTTACAAAATGAAATCGAAAATGAATTTTAAGATGAAAGTTTGGTTTCCCGAAACAATTAGACACCTAACATTTTTTAAAAAGGTTAGATTGGGTTTTTGTTTCTACTTCTGGATAACTGATTTTGGTTCAAGGATTTTATAAACTCAACAGTACGCCGGTATATCGAGTTTTTATGTATTTTTTTTGGGAAAACAATCATTTTGACTTTGTTAACTAAAAGAAGCTACAAAATCAATTTTTGTTTAAGATGTGTATATTTAAATGTGGCATAAATTCTGGCGACCCTTGCTGTTATTTTGAATTTTATCGAACTTTTGCTCCTTTATTATCAAACGAATCCCTAGAACGTGAAAGGGAGAGTTAAAAAAGTTATATTAAAGTTATATCTTAGATGACCGAAATCAGTTGGGCAGAACTCGTGATAAAAACGTAAAAAAGTGTAAATTAACTTTGCAAAATTTTGTAAGAGTAATTTTCTTAATCAGTGAATTCAAACGATAACTTAAAACCGAACTTACATCTTTGCAGTCGAATTGATTTTGTAAACTAGAGTTAATAACAGCAATTAGCAAACGATATTAAACACAATTCCCTACAGCCACCGTTCGTCCAATCTGTATTATTTTAAATAAGGAGACGCAGCAAAGATTGGAGTACACGGCCGAGCAAAAGTTTAAGGCCTTTGGCTGGGGAACAACAAGTGACCGACTGGAATCGGAAATTCTTCAATCCATCACCGTTGACATATTGGATCCAACCGTGTGCGAACGTAACTTATTGTATACACCAGTTTCGGAACAGATATGTGTTGGTAACCCTGAAGGAGACACCTGTCGTGGCGATTCCGGAGGTCCATTGAGCATAACTGTTACGATTAACGAATTATTCCGCGAAGTGCAGCACGGTATTATAAGCGTTGGCGCTAGAGATTGCAATAACACATCAGTGCTCACCAGAGTGTCTAGTTATGTGGACTGGATCCAGGGAGCTATAAACATGAACGAAGATGTTAATGAGTTGCCCTTACGGTTTGAGTCGGACGTGGATGAAGACAAGTGGTTGTACAAGGACTGCGGTGGAGATACCATTTCATCGAACTTAAGGGCCAAAATTACTGGACGTTTTTTCATGGCCAAGGGCGTGCTGATCACCAACCGTATGTATCTGTTTGGTAAACTAATCCTAACCATTTTTATTCAATATGGTATAACATCAATTTAATGTTTGACAAAAACTAAGCTTGCTTTAGCAAGTTGAAGTGTAAATACATATGCATATAAACTTGCAGTTATGCTAGTTACTATACTTATTTGATCAGAAGTCCTGATTTTCCCAGATATTCGTATGCATTACGGGAGCATTCGGTCTAATTTTATAATAATTGTAAATTATTAAAGAATTAAATTATTAATTAATTTATTCCTGAAATCGTATAAGATTACCATACATAAAATTTCTTGGGTATATGTTTAAAAAACATTGAAGTTAAATAAATTAGTCAAAAGTAGTCAACGCGAAATTTCCGACCCTATAAAGTATATATATTATTGATCAGCATTACCAGGAGAGCCGGACTAGCCATGCCCGTCGGTCCGTCAGTCCGTTTCTACGCAAACTAGTCCCTCAGTTTTAAAGCTATAGGCTTGAAACTTTCCCAAAAGTTGTCTTTCTATTGCATCAGATAGCTCCCATAGAAACAATCGGAGAAAAAAACGTTAAGAAATATAAATTTGTTGATTTACATTTTTTTTTGTTTTTTCGGGATCTGGTTATATTTTAATACTATGGAATTACGGTTTCAATTAAATAAAAATCGGACATCTATTTCATATGGCTCCCAAAGAAAAATCTAAAAATTAAAAAAAAATACAAATTTAAAAAATTGTTATATTACTGTTTTTAATTTTATAAAAATATTCCTTTGAGATATATTTATTATTTACTATATCACAATTACTCTTTTAGCTTTGTCACAATCGGACAACAATATAATATAGCTGCCTTAGAGACGATGGCAAATCGACATAGCTTCATTGTTTTTAAAAATATAGGCATAGAAATCGGAATGTAGTCATTTTATAATAACTGCAAGGGTATATAAACTTCCCAAAGTTTGGACGTTTATATAACAGCTATACGATATAGTCGTCCTAATTAACTATCTGCTGACATACATAAACTAGCTGCAATATAACTAGACTTTTAAATTTTAACTCAAGAACTGAATGATGGACTCGGCTGTTAAGGTAGATCTTACTATAAATACTTTATAAGGTCGAAATTTACTACCCTGAAATCTTCGGACTGAAATTATAATACCCTCTACCAGCGTTTACCAATTTTTTTACTATAAATATATTATATTTAAGTGCATATAATTTGTAAACTTTTGGCTAATCCTTATCCAATTACAGGTTTCGTCTTAGCAAATGCCAGAGACTTACGGGAACCTGCTTCTTCATTGTAAGTAATCTTAAACGTTTGATAATAATGTTCTATCTATCTAAACTATTTCTCAGAAAAGTGGATGTAATGGGAAAAGAGACGTCCTTTGGAGAGTACGGAGTTAACTTAGTCCTTAAGCATTCAAATAATGAAGATGATATAGCTTTGCTCAGACTTAATACACTGGTGACGTACACAGGTAAGCTATTATTCTACAAGTTTATCCGACCGATTACTGAGTTCCTCATTTGCAGACCATATGAAACCGATCTGTATGCTTGCAAACTCACAACTCCAACAGACTGGATCACTTTTATCGCCCTTTACTGTGTTTGACTACGTGGGAACTAAAGGTGCTGTTAGCGTTAACACTATCGATTCAAGCGAATGTTCATGGAATGTCCAAAGATCAGTCGGAAAGGATGACGTTTGTGTAAGAATTCCCACCGAAATGAGTAAGAATTTTGGAAAAGGCGAAATATTGGGAAAAGTGGTTATGGATTCGGGAAAGGAACGGTTCGTTTTATTTGGTATTGTCAGTTATATATATAATGGTTGGCACGTTATTACAAATGTTACGAGTCTTACGGAGTGGATCGCAAGTACTGTTCAATTTCATCAATAAATATCGATTTCAAATTGTAAGTCTCCGATTTTTGTAACGGCTATCATTGAATTTTATTTGGAGTTCTCAAAAATTTGCACTGTAAAAATACTTTTTAAATTGTTTTAAGGCAGATTTCCATTTTCATGAAAATTATAAAAAGAGATCATAACGACTGTAATTAATAAAATTGATTTTTAAAGATGAATTACTGAGTTTTTTTCTTACTTTAAAACAAATATGTTCGGATCGAATGGGAAAACAAGGCGCCCAAAAAATACTGCTTTCGATCCAAAGCATACAATTAGAAATGTTAAACATGGTGGCGGGAATATCAGCGCGTTTTTATTATTTTCCACCACTGTAGTTGTGATCGTGGTGAGAGGAGATAGTCGCTCGTGCTGGCGTTCCCAAGGGAAGCGTCCTGGGTCCCATTTTTTATATCCTGTTCACTTGAGATCTACCGTGTCCTAATGAACCAAGCACACTTCTGGCCACCTATGCTGACGACACAGCCTTCCTTTCGAACTCCTCCTGCCGATTCGAAAGCACTGCAATTTTTTTCTGTTTTTTTTTTAACAGTTCCCACCAACACCTTGATTACAAGAGGACTAAAGCGAAGGTAATAGATTTTTTTTGTCAAATTTTTATAAAAAATTGTCAATTATCCCTGTAATGCATTCATGTTATCTGCTTCTCATTATACTGAACAAATTATAGAAATTAAGTTGGTTGATGGACGTTTAAATAAATTTATAAATTTATAAAACAAAAAAAATAATATAAAGTGCTTTCCACACTAGAGGTGGAGAATCATTGATGTTCGCGGCAATCGATGTTTGCTTGCTATCTATTTTATTAAGCTTTATAATACTCTATAAACGCAGCAAGCATTAATATTTAATGATGTTTAACAATTCAACAGAGACAATTTGTAATCTTTCCCTCAGTTGCTAAAAATTTCTATTGAATTTTCGACAATTCAGTCGTTTACTAATATTTATTAAACATCCTATGTTTTTTAATAGATAGATGAACTTTTTCTAGCTAGACCCTAGAATAGCTATTTTTCAAACGAATGTGTAATCGATAACCCGACTCCCATCATTACCAAGCAGCAGTGCTATCGACACTGTGCTATCGAATCCGTGCTACCACATACATATTTTTTCAGCCAACTAATTCTACAGGAGTAGAATTTTTCCAAGTAGTGGGACTCTCTAAAATTAAACTTCCACAAAGACAAAATCGCCCAAGCCGGAATGCCGCGTGACTACGACAGGGACTACAACGAGGACGCCGCCGACTACAAGCGGAAGCGACGCGATGAGGAGCCAGCGGCGACCGGTGCTCCGGAGAATCAGGAGGCGGACGGCGGTGGACACACCACCAGCCACGCCGCCCTCCGGGACACGCCCCAGTTGAACGAGAAGACGAACGCCTACCTGCAGGAGTGCCTGCTGGAGAAAAAGACGCTCGAGAAGAAACACATCATCACCAAGCGCCTGCTTGACGACGGTGAGTTTGGCCCTGATACACGTAAGACCTATTTAAGCGGATCTAATCGATTGTTCACGGCCCGCAGAGGTGGAGAAGATCTTGGTCAGCGGCCGCATTCCCAAGCCCGAGATCTATGCCAACGTGTACAGCGAAAAGCCGATCCGCGTAGCACAGAAGGTGCTGTTCCCGATCAAGGAATATCCCAAGTTTAACTTCGTTGGCAAGATCCTGGGCCCCAAGGGCAACACGCTGCGCCAACTACAGGAGGAGACCATGTGCAAGATGGTGGTGATGGGGCGAAACTCGATGCGTGACCATGGAAAGGAGGAGGAGCTGCGCAGCTCCGGCAATCCCAAGTACGCCCATCTCAGTCGGGATCTGCACGTGGAGATATCCACGGTGGCCCCTCCAGCGGAGGCCTATCACAGGATCAGCTATGCGCTGGGCGAGATTCGTAAGTTTATGATACCCGATGCGAACGACGACATTCGGCTGGAGCAACTGCGCGAGATGGACGGCAAGGAGCGCATGTACAAGAAGTCCCACCACTATTCCAAGTCGTACGGCGATCATGGCGCCTATAGTTCCCGGTAAGCTCGATTATTTTAGTACATTTTTAATCGGTTATTGAGGATTTCGTCTCGTCACAGCACTCCACCTCCTGCTTCCTCCAAACCCAAAGTTTATTCGATTCTGGAGAAGGCACGATATGTGATGGACGATCCTAACTATGGCATTGTCAAGACACACAGGTTGGATAAGTTCAATCAAGTTAATAATCGTTTTAGAGGCCGTTACAGAGGGGGCAAATCCAGACGCTAATAGAGTTTTTATTCTTGGTCAGGATCACCAAATGAATTGAATTAGCCTCCTCTCATTTTGATCACTTTCCATTTACGAGACGATATCGAGAGGATTAACTAAACATACAGCAGTCATTGGAACCATCCGTCCTTAACATTATAACTTAATTTTTTACAAGAGGTCTAATTCCAACGAGGCAATCAATTTAAAAACTCATTAAATAATTCTAGAAAGTTTGTTTTCTTGAAGTTTATTAAATCGTTTAGTTTTGATTGGTTTGAATTGTAGAAAAGAGATAAAATTCGATTATTTTGTAAAATATTTAAACATCGGTAGCGATCATGACCATTTGGCATTGATGGATTTTGAAGAAGTGGAACTAAATCAGACAGATTTCTTTTAAACATGATACTAGAATAGACGTTCTCTGGCTATAATTTTTCTGAAATTCCATGCTACAGGACAATTTTTAAAAACCATAAAATTTTCAGCAGATCCAGGGACCACGAGCTTTACGACCACCACGGGGAATACGATCGCTATGCCACACCGCCGCCCCAAACATCCAAGCACTCGACCCACCACGCCCAGTATGACAGTAGCTCCTACGAGCGCGACTACCGGCGTGAGTATCACCCCCACTCGTCCTCCTCTTCCTACGCGGCGGCCTATCCAGGTAAGATATCTAGCTATTTAGAGCAATTAATCTTTTCCCCTCAGCAGGCATGTAAAAATAAACAAAATGAAAAAAGAAAAAGAATACGACAAATAGCAATGTAATCGTTTAAACTCAAATCGCGCAATTAAAAGAAAAAACTCGAACGCAAAACAAAAAATATCCAACTAAGCGACGAAAATTGAAAACGCAAAAACAGAAATCGCCACAAAACCGCGTACCAAAATTATGATAAACGGCAACCCATCCCATTTTAACAAGATTTTAAATGCACTATGCCTGAACAGAGGCGAGATCAACTAAAGCGTATAGCGACAATTAAATCATCTTCATTAATTGGACGACTACTAACATACTCACAAGAAGCGAGAGCAAAAAATAAAACAAAATCGACCAAACAATCAAATTACTTAAATTCACACTTTGAAATCAAATTCATAAAACTTCATGGCTGAAAACGCAATAAATATTCGTACAACATGTTTTAATACAAAATACAAACTTAATGGTTTGTGAAACCATTTTTTTTTTTCGAAACGTGGAAAATGCATTTTACTAAATATAAGAACTTTTCGTAGGGTGTAGTGCATTCAAAACCGGTTAAACAGTTTATTTTTCTTTTTTTACAATGTATATACATATGTTAAGCAAATGAAAAACAAAACCAAAAAACAGCACCACAGAGACAAAAACAATTTAAAATCTAAACAACAAATAAAATTCTTTCCAAAATAGCAAAACCAAGCAATGGTCGTTCATCATCGTCATATCGACCAACAACCTCGGGCTCGGGATCACATTCATCTGCTCACTACGAAACTGGATCCCGATCTCGTGAAAGCGTGCGTTATCGCTCGGCTCCATATCCGAAAATACGTTAACCCATCGATTTTCCAAAATCCCAAGAAACCAACCCCAACAACAACAACAACCACAACTAAACAAAGTTAAGCATAAAGTATAAAATATATTCCAAACAAATTATCTAATATGTTTAAAGTCAACAATCCAACTATGCACACCTATTAAATATACTATCTTAACAAAAATGAAATGAAAAACGTAACTTTTTATTGCAATTGTTGTCCAATATTTGAATTGTGTTAAAAACAAAATCATCAATGCAACAAATTTTATCCTCGAAATGATTGTAAAAATAAAACAAAAACTTAAAACCAATGAATGCTAGTAAAAGCGAATACAAAAAAAGAACAAAACACAAACAAAAATCCCCAAAACAATTAATTAATCAATGCGTAATGTTAGACTAAGCTTTGGAAATATTGTTTCATAAGATTATGGAGATAAAACCAACAATAAAAGCAACACATAAACCCCAGATATATGCCTAAAAACAAAGTAAGTATCGCCTGCGGACAGAATTATTTACAACAAAACAGCAGCAATAAATAAATTAACTAAATGCCGGCTTCGTTACAAATTCCCACGAGAAATGAGTATTGAGAAACGTTCAACGTTGTCGTTTATAATTTTGATTTCCTTTTATTTTGTTTGTTCTTGCGAATCAACAATTGTTTTATAACTTAAATATTATTTTTAACATTTAACCATTAGGCCGATTAGAACTGAATGTGTTTGCCGCAAAAATATCCCAAAATAAAGAAAAGAATAATATACGATTGTTTCATTGTTTAAGTATTTTCTTTGGGGTTTTAACAGCGCGTTCAAAAGTTCATGGCTCCATCCAGGAACATCAGGCTGTCCACAGCCGATATGGCCATTTCCACGTCCCTCTTTTGGATGGTTTTCTTCTTGGACTGAGCGGTATACGTATAGGATTCGCGGGATAATGAGGCGATGAACAATTCCACGGCTTTGGCCACCGTAAACACAGCTTCATTGTTGGCCATATGCATATCTGGATCCAGTTTCATTATGTTCCGTATCCTGGCCAAGGGAAGTTGTGTCATCTTGGCCTCGTGGTCACCAGAGGCTTTGTGGCCATTCGTCACTGGGAAGGGATTAAATATTTAGGTATCATCCTAGTTTTTGTGCTTATAACTTACCCGGCTTGTCTGCAACGGGTTCTGTGGTCGCTTCCGTTGGAGGATTCTCCGGTGTTTCCTCTATAACTTCTGAAGGTTCCTCGGTTTCGCCTGGTTCCTCTGCCTCTGTCTCCATGGCTTGTTCCAGGTCCAGATCTTCCGAGAATTCAAATAAGTCTTCGCTGGCCATTGTTTATAACAAAAAGGGAAAACAAACTACAATATTAGAGATGAGCAGCCCAGTAGCCGCCAAAAATATCGATGTTGCTATTTATCGTGTTTGCCAGAGGTTGGTAACTCTTTTATCCTAGTGGTTTACCTTTTTAGCTAGTTTTTCCAAGTAAGAGGCTTTCCGGTGTTTTTAAAAAAATCAGTGCAACTGCTAATTCTTGAGCAGAATAAACCAATTTGACTTTAGTTTTGTCCTTTTTTAGCTGCTTATCAAAATTTATAAACCTGTTTTAATTATTTTTTCCGAGTATAAAATTCCACAAAAAACAAAAATTATGTTTAGACTAGCTTATTTAAATGTTTAACTGAAATTGAATTATAAATTATGATATATCAAGACATTTATGTCAAAATCAGTAAAAACTTATCGGTCTGAAAAGATTGACAGCACTATTGACAGGCTATACGTTTGGCAGCCCTGCGGCCATTTTGAGCACTGTTATAGATACAGTTTTTCCGACTGGGTTTTTTGTTGAAAAATAGTTCCGTTAATATTGATATGATAAAAATGGAACCACCAAGCGAATTTACAGAGAAACCCGCCACCCATGACCATCAGCCACGTCTAAATGAGGTGGCCCAAAAGTTTCTGGCCGATTTGGACGAGGAGCGCCAGCGTTTGTCCGCAGAATTTCCACTCTGCTCGCTGCTAATCGACGAGGGTAAAATCAATTTGCCATCATATGTAAAAGTGCGTGATAATGGTACTTTGAACTTTGTAGCTGTGGACCGCGTCTATTGTACTGGTCGAATTCCCGGCAAGGAGTTCCACGCAGATGTGTACAAACAGAAGCCGATGAAGATTACCCAAAAGGTGTTCGTTCCCGTCAAGCAGTATCCGAAGGTGGGTGTTACATACATAGATATTCTCAAGTCTTTATTTACCCCCAACACCTCCTGGCAGTTCAACTTCACCGGCAAGATCCTGGGACCAAAGGGCAATTCGCTGCGCCGTCTACAAGAGGAGACCCAATGCAAGATAGCAATCAAGGGACGCAGTTCGATCCGTGATCGAAATAAAGAGGAGCAGCTGCGCAGTTCGGGCGATCCCAGGTACGCCCACTTGCAAAAGGACCTCTTCCTGGAGGTCAGCACGGTGGCCACGCCGGCAGAGTGCTATGCCCGTATAGCCTACGCCCTGGCCGAGATCCGTAAGTATCTAATTCCAGACAAGAATGACGAGGTTTCACACGAGCAGCTGCGCGAGCTAATGGAAATGGATCCCGAGTCGGCCAAAAGCATCCATGGACCCAATCTGGAGGCCTACAGGTGAGAGGACATTATAACTAACCTCTGTATACCCTCGCGACTTAACCAGATCATCAATGCATCCCGTATTATTAATATGCCATAAATCTCAGTTAAATTACAAAAGGCATAATAACCAAGAAAGATTTGTATACCATTATAATTAATTACCCTTATAAAAACGTTTTTAAAACTTGACGGACCAAAGGTACTTTTATCGCAGGAAATTCTAGAACAAATATTAACCTAAAATATAACATATTATTTTAGAAATAAAGGGTTTTCTGCAAGTAGAGTAGATGGTATACAGAGGGTCAAGATAGGGAATCGGTATCTAAGTTAAATATTTTTTACAGATCTGTCTTCGACAAGAAGTTTGGAGGCAGCAGCAATGGCGCCCCCAAGTACCTCAATTTGATCAAGCGAGCTGCGGAAAATCCGCCCGAGTAAGTTACTTGTAAAGTATAATTTTGTATCATTTAATGACCCAAGCAGGAATAAAGGACTGAAGAGTCCTCGCGTCTGATTAGTGCCTTAAACCTTAGCCAACGCTCGTTGATATGGCAACTAACATTGTTATTTCTTATAGAGTCGATGAGGCGGAGGAGGTGGCCTACGAGTATGAACACCGTATGCCCCCCAAGCGTCCACCCACGGGCTATGAGTACAGCAAACGTAAGTGGAGCCCATGCATGATTTTCTAATTCTTTCAGCCGTAGATTCGTAGTGCCGGGGTCTACTAGATAAGATTTCCCTTTGCCTTCCACGCACTCCCCAATATTTTTGAGTTGCACTTTGGATGGGGCTCCTTGGGTCATATTGGAGTATCAGTACCAATACCAGTGAATGAACAAGAACTTCTCAATGCAAAAATATATAATACTCTTGAATGATTAATTTTAAATAACGAAATACTTTTTTATATAGTAATAATACACGCATAACTTACTAAAAATAATAATGAAACAATTTTATAGCACGTCCATCAATAATACCAACAAACGCAGCGGCATATAAACGTCCATATCCGACTGACATGAAACGTATGCGCGAACCGCCCATCAAGTCATATAAGCCCAATCCGTATACCATACTCAAAAAATATAAATAATAGTACTGAGCTGCGCCACACACCGCTATAAATGATAACTAAGGACGATGTTTATGTTATAAATCCCATACTGGGAGCACTATGAATATACCTAAAGCCTAATTTATTCTTGGCCTAACAAGAAGAAAGCAGCATTTAAAATGATGCTATGAATGAATAACATTAATACAAATGCGCACTTGCGCCATCAATTTCCAAGAACATAATATTAATCTTAATTTAATCATCGGATAAACCTAAATGTTCGAACTGTTGGCGTGCAGGACAAAGTCTTCAGGCCTAGGCGAGACTTTTGGACCATGTCAACAGATCATATAAGCCCAATATATACCATTATGTTAAAATATTGATTTCCATGATTCTCAAAAATGTGTAATAAAATGAAACGCAATTAATGAAATCAATAAATACTGTCCAAACAGATCCAACTAAATCGAATCGATTAATTTACCCGATCCTTCCCTCTACAATCAATATATGCATACATATTTAAATACATGTGTCACTAGCAGTAGATTCAGAAGTTATATCTCTTTCAAATAAATTAGTAAATTAATAAAACGGGATGAAATTATCACATTGTTTAATGAAATGAAAATAAGTGCAGATCAAAATCCATTTTGGACTACAAGACATTAAAAGGCGTTTGAAAATAAGTTAATAAACCATTATGAATTTATAAATGAACCAAACAGAAAATTAATAAACAATTAAAGTTGCTGCATAACTAAAAAATTTCATACTTCTTTCCTAATACAGTTTTGTTTCAGATCTAAGCTATGGGTAAGTAGCTCTACTTTTTAGTGATAAGGAATTTAAACTAAGGACAAACTAATAAAGGTTTAAAAAAATATCTTATCTTATCTTTTGTAATTTTACTTTTTCGGATTGAGCATATTTTAGATCAACTGTAAGCCACTTTGAATTCGGTTTTTAAACTTATAAATTTATTTGTATATATTTAACAATGGTATTGCAATCGTGGGGCTTCTTTAACTAACAATTATATTGTATGGGCCTGCCCGTAAAGCTGGCCAGCCAAATCTGCTTCATCAGATCGTTTTCACTAGCTTTTGTGTCGTTTTCTTGGGGCTGGTTATGAATTCGATGCAGGATTCTTTGATAGACCTCCAAGGCAGTCTGTGCCTGGCCACAACGACTCTGGCCACAGTGGTCAGAGAACTGGGGTTCCTCAATGTAAGTATCCTGGATCGAAGGCGGATTCTCGTTTTGCGGTATCATCTGAAGGATGGAGAACTTACTGCGATTTCCTTGGAAAACCACTGAACTGTGAGAACTCACCTTGGCTGTTCGGGAAGAGGCGCTGATTTATTCCGCTGACTAGCTGTGTGTCCTGGCCGCTAAGCAGTTGAAGACTGAGCCGGAAACTAAAGTTCTCGCTCGAGGCTTGTGCCACCACCCTTAGGAGCCACCATATGGCCGCCAGGCCCTGCGCACATTGCGGAATTCCTCCTCCCACTCCGCCACCGAACTGCAGCTGCATTATAGGGACCTCGGCGCTTTGTTGTCCTTGTCGCGCGTGCGTCCTACCCCCTCCCACTCCCAAAAAGTACGCCATTGAATCCTGCCGGCCTGCATATAGGGGTGGATTTCGTTGAATGGATTCAGCTGGGTCTATAGCAGCTCTAGTTTATTTCAGTTTTACATCCGACAAAATTTCATACATTGTTTTTATGTATTCATAATCTGTTCATATATATCTGTATATATAGTATCCTTCACAATGATTCGTTAAGCCACTTGGTATCGCATTTTGTTCCGCTAAGTTAAAATCAATTATGTACTAATCTCTCGACTCGTTAAGCGCAAGACTAAAGCAATCACACTAGGCTAATTCGATCCTATAGATAGTATATCTAAATTCAAGTGGATGACAAACAATATTACTTTAAAGGAGTCAAAAACATCGATTTTGGAAGTACAGGAAGCAGAGTTGGAAGTGTGGTTTAAACAATCTATAGGGTCGGTTTCCTATATATTACAATAACAAAGCAACACCTAACTTAATTGGCCAAGCCATCGATTCCCTCGGATCGCAATCGTAGGTGACCGCAGGGCTACATCCCAATGTCAAGCTCATCTGTTGCGGTGCGCATCTCCAATCGTAATGCCGGTGGTGCAGATTTAAGAGGGGTCTTGAACTTGGCCCGCTTCAGAAACGGAAGGACACGGCCAGTTGGAGAGTGGCCAAGAAGAGGCCGAGCAGCCAGAGGCTAATGTCCCGTCCGTGGGACGCCGAATCCTTGGCCGGGGCTGAGGTCACCGCCGAGACCGAAACTGGAGACGGAGACGGAGCCGGGGTGCTTGGCTCCGGTCCAAACCGAATGGTCACCTGGCGGCGCGCATTTGGCATCACCTTGCACTCGTACCGCTCCTCCGTGGCATTGGGCGCCAGCGGCACGGTCAGGGCGAACTGGCTGTCCAGGCCGTAGATCGGGTTGAATATGTTCTGGTCGTTGGAGACGGGCACTGTTCCCTTGAACCAGAGCACCACGTGATGTTGTGCTTTAAAAAACGGAAAAAATCAATACTTGGCTGGGACTTTTTCAGCAAAAATAGCATTAAAGGTGTACAAAAAATGCATTGTATATATTTGTACAATATATGCAGATGTATTCAAAGTTTTCTCGATTACAAATATTACAAAATGTTAGCTTTTACCAGAAAATATTTAATAGAACAGTCGAAATTCAAATATGTAAGCAATTGTTAATGTATGGCTAAATTTGAAGTCCGGAAAGTTCATATTAATTAATAAAACAGTTATAAAATCGAAATTAATGATATAAATTAAAAAGGAAAATCATTTGAATAAAACAAAAAACTGTGTTTTAAATTGAATTTAAAATAAATTACTTAATGAAATCGGAGAATAATAGAAGATTTTGTATAGCTTAGTTTTTAAGTCATAATTTAAGCAATTAGAATTGTTAAAGAACTTCTTAAATTACGAACTTACCGTTGTAATTCTTTACTGGGCATTCCAGCTTCACACTGGTCGTGTTATTCGGGACATAGAGATTCACGTCAGTCTGCTCGAAGTAGGGATAGGGGATTTTGGGACCAGCCGTGGACTTAGCCAGATTTCCCGGAGCCCCCTTCTGCTCCTCCTCTTCATATTCGCTGTAGTCGGCGCCGGTGTCTCCTGCTGATGAGGCAGTGACTCCTCGCCCAGCTCCTCCTCCATTTCCGCCTCCACTGGCTGACGAAGATTTGGCTGGGAGTGCCTCTGGCAAGGTCAGCACACCTGGAATAAATTTTAATTAGTTTGAGCCCCACACACACGCAGCTAATGCTACACGGCCAAAAAAATTAGCTAAAATCAAATTTCGTACTTGTTTACACCTTATTTTTTTTAGGACTTATGCTTCCCGTCGATTAAGTTTTAATTTTTATTTGGTATTTTTGTAATCATGATATAATATTTTATTGAATTAATTAATTATAATTTGATATCTACATCGAATATTCTCAACTCAAACCTCCAAGGATTTGATTTGACTTTCCGTTTTCAATTTTCAGTTAATTTAAATAGCTTTTGAGTTTCATTTTAGATTCGGCTTCTAAATGCATTTAATTTTAACTTTAAAGACATTGCATTAGAAGGCTTAACATTTTTATGGCACTCGTAGATGTTACGCCAATCCTAATGAACGGCGAATATATTCCAAATGTTAGAGAGAAAAACTTTTGAAACTAACAAAAAAATATTTTAATGAACTCAATTTCTTGTGTAATGTTTTGAAAGCAATGCTTCGAGAAATTTCTAGTGATTTTTGTAACACACATGATAAATATGTTCGTACTTTAAGGCTATACCGTCATTAAGTTTTGAGATATACTCGTATAATACCAAATTCTGTTTTTTTTCAAACATTATGCGAAATATCATCAAATGAATTTTTTTTAGTGGATGCATTGAAAAGCACTCGAGAAGGTACTGGGCCAGATTTCCGTGTTCGGTGATAGTTTCGAAGCCAGCCTAAGCCACAAAGACCACGGAAGGCAACATAAAACCATTAACGGAATACGGAATATGCGGCCAAGTTAAGCCAAGCCCCTCTTGTATATATTTTCCCAGGGAGCGTGTCAACGCCCATTCTGGAGTGATATGATGGCTACAACTCCTGCTGGAGGTCAGGTCACGGAACGGAATTCTTTTCGGGAGTACTCAGCATATGCAAGCTAACACACTCGATACATCTGCGAATATATACATACATATATGTATCTGGATTTGGCTCAAGGATGTATGTACATCGCTGAGGTTGCGTCATTTGCACGTTTAGCGCATTGCTTAATGGCTGCGAAAATTGCCAATTTGCCATATATAATTCGTGGGTTTATGTGAGGCGGGGGTGTGTGTGCCAGAGTTATTAGTTTTGTTTACACTCTCGTTAGGAAAAATGAAAAGACATCGGCAGACATGTCGGGACACCTTTCTTAGCCTTGGCGTAGTTACTGTCTTGTGTTTGCCCGGAAAATGCGAATGGGGTCATCGGGAAATGGGGATGTTTTATCTTTCTGAATCATAAAAATAATATGGATCAAGTTTAATTTATTACTTGTAGCTCAGTGGGGTTTCAGGAGGATTTCTTAGCCCAAAAGTATGCCACAAAAGTGTGTTCCAATATTTGAGCAGTCAATAGAGGGGAAGAATTTAAGATATAGGGGCGTATCGAATAGAAAAATTAAGATAAGACAAATTCTCATTACTTAAAAAGTGTTTATTTTTGATTTTTATCAATATTGCATATCATTAATGCGGTTCCTAATTTATTATGTGCTTTCAAATGTTTTTTTGGAACACGCTTTAGAATATGAAATTCAAATGGGATAGGCATGAAGAATGTCTCAATTATTTTGTTTTATTAGTAAGACAAACATTAAGCAATTTCTTGAAAATGTATAATGCTCAACCCAAAAAATAAATATACATATACATATAATATAATCGGAAGTTACGATATCCCAACCCAAAAATAAAAAGGTTATGTTTTACAGCCCGAGGCGCTTTGAAAACTTTTCAGGGTCAAGCGCCTCCAATATTTGTAGAAAGTTAATGCACAGTCGTTCGAGGGAAACTGTCAACTCATATGACAAACCCATTCAATCCCACGCTTCTGTTGTCCTCTCCGTATTATAATTAATATCGATAAGCCGCACAAATAACCCTGGAACGCACGCATGATCCGGCAATTACCTCGCCATATTCTGTTCCCTTTGACAGCTCATCTACCACAGCTCCCCAGACCCACTCCCAGTTGCTTAATTATTCAAGAGCCACTTTAATCATGTTGATATTTTTAACAATGTGCTCATTTCTCCCCACACCCCGACCCCCTTTTCATTTACTGTTCCACTAATTTCTCTATTAGGAAGCACTACACAATGCACATACACGCACAGAAAAACCATTTAAAATTCACAGATCAAATACTTTAAAAATTGTTAAACAGACAATAGATCCCCTAGAAATAATTATTTTAATTTCTTTAGATCTTAATCTTTAAGAAAGAGTTATAAATAGTATATAGAATAAATATAAGCTGTAGTTTTTAATTAGTTATAATATTTTTTTGATTGGGTTGATGCGGACTGTTATGATATATGTGTATGTATATATACAAATAAATATGAATACATTACTCGTTTTTGAATAAGCGGTAATTTTTCAAAAATTTGTTCGTGGTATTTTCCGTCTGAGAATAAGTTGTGCAAGATTTTACCGCTTATAAATGAAATTGTGAAAAATGAATTGGTCATTAAGACATCTGCATTCCGAGGGATATTAACTTTATAAGAACAAAATTATACTTAATATATTATATATCTCAAAATCGATAAGATAGATAAATAATACGTTTTTGAGTATTTTTGCGCCAATACTATTTTCAAATATTCGGCTTCAGTGTTATTGTTGCTACTAAAGTAAAAAGTTTAATTTACAAATTTTTCCCTCTGTGTACCATCTTCATCTTCAAGACATGCCCTGCTTACAAGTGGTTCCCAAATTGTCGTCAATTCAATGAATGACACACGTTCTTTCAGGCAACTCTTCAACCCTCCCCCTCGCCCACTTTATCCCCGCCCCCTTTATCCCCGCCCCCTTTAATAACTCCCAGTCAGCGTTTAAGGAATACTTTGCCATAAACGTGGCGACCCTATGAAGCACTTTTGCTTGATAGTTTTGGGTGGCAGACAAGTGTTTTATGGAGTTTGGAGCCGGTTCCATGTGGGGATGGCGAAATTGCAACCTCTGGTGAATACTAAGCTACTGGAAACTGATGTAAGTGTGATGAGGCAATCCCCGTAAGAAGATATACGTATTTCTTAAGATTATAACAGATTTATATGACTAATTTATTATTAGTGTATATCTATTGAAACATCATTCGCATTATCATATCACATTAACATTTCTTTTTGAATTCGGGCATAGGTATACCACACAAACTTTCCCATCTACCTCAATGATTCATGAGTAGTCTTCTTGCGAATTTTTAAATTAGTTGTGAACAGTTGTGAATAATTCTAATGATGAGTCAATTCCAGTTATATATATTTTATTTTTGTACAGTTTAAGATTCCGCTTATTGGGTCAGCGGAAAAAGCGGGGTAAGTGCAATGTAATCCATCGATTACTTGAGCGCCTGCAACTCATACACAAACACAAGTGCCGTAGAAATTTTCCCCAGGATTATAATCTCTAGATTATGCAAATTAGCGTCCATGAGTGGGTTATAAGAAGCAGCGAGCAAACAAGAAATGTATAAGTATTTCTTTGTGCCTCTCCACGAAATTAAGCCATTGATGGCCCTTCTATTTTTTTATGAAACCCGCATATGTTTCAAAAAAACCAAAAAAAAAAAAAAATCCACTGCACATAAAGATTACAAATTGAGTCGAAAATTAATTTGTCTTTTTTAATGGAACCCAATATGCGGCAAAAGATGTGAGAGATGCAACCGATTTTTACCTGGAAACTGGACAGATCCACAGGCGATAAGGAGCAGCAGCCAGAGATGCCTCATTTCTGTCGCTTGTTTATGATTGAGGGTTATGCCTTTGGAACGGCTTGCCAATCTCCACTCCTTGAAATCCTTTTCACTTTCCTGTGCTTGCAGAACCCGTTCGCTTTTTGCCAACTTGGAGGATAAACGGCGGCCGAGACACTGAACTTTGTTTGTGTGGCTTAGGTTTTTCGAGTGTCTTATGCCCTTTTGCGTGGGCTGTCGTTTTCGATTCTGTTGTTCGTCGAGGACTGCCAGTGGGAAATAAGAAGCGCGGTTGCGAATGCCGACGGAGGGATTCCAGGTACAGTGCTACCTCGGAACGAAAACTATTGTTCTTGAGTCAATAGTATAAAAAAGGATGGTGAATCGTATGAGGTAAATGTATGAATCCAATTAGGGTATGTATGTTTAAAGGAGTCCGGAATTCTGATTGGAATAAAATTATCTTATTGGATTTGACATTACATGATCTAAGTTTGGTCATAAAAAAAACTGTTGTCTTCGAGTTTCTAAAATAAAATTTTTTCCCTTAATGGCCTTTTATGCTTTAAAATATTTTGCTTACCAGAATTATGGTTTGTGTTTATGATTTCTAAGGTATATCTAATTATCTAAAATATTAATCAAATTATCAGTTAAAGCCATAATAACAAATGTAATGTGGCATCCTAAAAGAAAATTTTGAAACTGTTGAAAGCTAATTGTCAATTATTAATTATTAGCAAATTAATAATTAATAAGGCATTTGAAATAAATTTAGTTGATTTGTTAAATTACCCAACATTTTGTTGTTTGGATGGATAATTCCTGAAAATTTTCAATTTGAAAGTTTAGTAACGGTTTTTTGAAACTATTATCCATTTTTGGAAGCTCCGCTGTACTTGTTTATGCCTGAGAATGAAGGAAAAGGAGGAAGAGAGCCAGCATAAAAGTTGAATAACGACGAAGGCGCGAAGGAGAACAGATGACTCATGTTGCACAGTCGCAGGAGCGCCCAATTGGAAATACGGAAAAGCGACGCATTCGCTGGACTAGATAATACCAATTTCCCACTTGGCAAGCCAGGACCGTGAGCGAAAGAGAGAGAGAGACTAGGTCAATTCCACTTTCCAGCATACCCTTGCAGTTGGTGCAATCTACCCATCCCACTCCAACCCACTGCGATGACCGCGTTGCCAACTGCCTAAGAGTGGAATAACTCTTAGGACCCTCTCTTAAGCTTCTGGCGCATGGAGTCTGCGCGCCTCTTGGAACATTTCAATTTCCCAAGCTATTCGACTTTTCCTGCTGTCAGCATTCTATTCTTCCAGTCTTCTGCTGGCTTTTAACTTTGTTGTTGTCGCCCTTGTTGTTTGATTAATTTGTTTTCGAAAGAAATGAATTCTCGGAAATTCTACGAATGCATACCAGTGCCAACACACTGGTGTGTGTAAATATAAATATTTGATTAATATCCACGCCCATTTAATCCCCTTTTCATTCCCATTTCATTTTCCACCGCACAGAATCCCGATCTGAATCCCCTAGTAATTGTTCTAAATTTGCGGATGTTTACAAGCTTGGCACCCAAGAAAAAGAAACGCAAACATCGCACCCCTGACACTGAAAATAAATGTTTTTTTTTTCAAAACTATAGAGCACTATGTTTAGAAAATCACAATAATCAGCAGCACTTAAAAAATTAAAGATTCATTTTATAAAATCTGGTTCTGCTTTTTTTTTCATTTTTTCTTTAAACAAACAACAGATTATTTATTATAAACAAAATATTTACACTTAAAAACAAACCAAAAAAGAATAATGTTTTTTGTGTTCTTACTGAAATCAATAAAAAATAGCTCTTTAAACCTGAAACATCTAAAAAACACTCAATTCAAATGCTAAAATCTCAAGATATGAGTAAATCCTTAAAAGTTATAGATTCCAGATATTTAAAGATTTTATTAATTTAATAACTACTTTAATTTAAATAATCGTGTTTATCTTCAGAAAATCAGGAACACAACATTTTTAAGACAAGACTTGTGCATTTTAACGTTGTACAAATTTTTCTAGAAGCAACAATAAAATGTACTTAATAATTTTTAATTCTTGAATAAAACTATAAAAAAAATCAAGTTTGCGGAATATATAGTTTTTAAAATATAGTTCTTAGAGAAAATAAAGCATTTTTAAATTAAGTACGCTTTGTGCTCAAAAAAATAAATAATTTTTGCATATTGCGATAAAAACACTTCAGTCTTGTTCGTCAACACGTAAGTAGCAACAAGTTTAATATAGTTAAAATGTTTTATATTAAAAAATATAAATATGAAAAAATAAGCTTATTAAACAGTAAATCCATAATTCCTACATAATTAGAGCATAAGTCAGAATTAATTTACCAAAAAATTTTACAAAACGTTTATTTTTTATTTTTAGAAAAAATCTAGCTTTTAATGATAATAGAAGAACATATAGACCTTTTGCATGTTAATTTACCTTTTAAAAAAGGAATAAATTCCATTAATACATTTCATTGAAAACGTGCTGATTAAATGTAGCACGTCTAAGGTTACAAATTCTGTTTAATTCCATTAATAAAAGTCTTTCGGAACGTGCTTTTTAAATAAAGCAATAAATGGTTTAATGCCATTGATAAAAAGAAAAGAAAATAAATGGTCTTTTGATATCATATCAACTGTTTTCTCCCAGTGCAGCGTACACAGACTCAAAGAGATCTATCTGTGCAAGATCCATAATGCAATGCACTTTGTTTTACGCTCGTAGATTAATTTTAATTGTTTGTTTGTTTGTACAGTGCAAATGTTGCATGTATCTACATTTAATGCGGTCGCTGTCGCACTCATAAATCGTATCTGCATCTGTTGCGCCAAGTATCCGAGTATCTGTATCTCAGCCGATGTAGGCGTCATCGTCAGACACAGGAAAAAGGCAGCGAAACATAAGAAGTGATGGAGACACTCCGGGAACATGGGGATATTACTACTACCATTGCCCCTTGGAAATCAAGGAAATCACGGTTTCCCAGGCCGACTTTATTGGAGGCCTGAGAAAAGCCGCAATTGCATCAAGCAAATTGTCTCCGGGGGATGCAAATAAATTTCCGCGAATCTTGGACTGCAACTCGAGGATGGTTCTACGCGAAAGAGTAAGGAAAGACATGTGCTGTTTCAGCAATTAATGGAATTTAGCCCGAGCATGTGGCATAATGAAATTGTATTTCGTTAATTGGGGCTTGTTCGAAAGGTTAAGCATATATGTATTTTAGAAGTTTTTTATGCACAATCCACACTTTCATCGGTCCACATCCGTTAATTCATATTTATGGCCAGGAAATGCTTTCTTCTATAAATACAACCCCTTTCGTAAAGAATGTTTTTAAATAAAATTATTTCGCGCCACATAATCTACGCTCTCTTAACGCACTCTCTCTTCGGCCCAGTCACACTCTCTTCGGCTTTCTCTTCAATGGCGGAAAAGGCAAGCATAAAACCAGAAAACCAAAAACCGCTGAACATTTATTGACTCGCTGTTGCCCCGAGCGGACGTTTAACGGAAATTTAAAAATATAAATAAAAAGTAAAATCAGAAATACATCAGAGCTAAAGACAATTTATCTTGTGTGTGCGCGAGTTGAAGAACCAAAAAAAAAATAATAAATAATAGAACAGTTCAATAGAGAAGTGCTGACTGTGCTAGCCGGAAACCAAAACGCTAAAACGTCAACATAATTACGCGGCAATATTTTTCGAAGGCCCAAAAAGATCGACAGAAATCAATCGGCCCGAGTGACATACATTTCGGATCGAACAAAAACCAAAAACGCTACCTTTTGGATACCTATTTAATCGCCGATCGGCGACGAGTGCAGTCCGTAGCCCAAATAAATAAATAACAATATGATGTCCAGACGAGCCCTGCTAATTGCCGGACTCCTATTGATCGTGGGCAGCTCCATGGGTAAGTGGCTTTGGGGTTAACCTGATGCAATCGGGGGCTCCGCTCCACAATCTAATCGAAAACGGGAGGGCGACCCCAAAATCCAGGCCTCGCCTCCCGACTAATCGCAATGCATCAGATTCGGACTCGGATTTGAAGTGCAGGAATTTACTATAAACTATAAATCGATGTGATTGTTGGGCGTGAAGCGGGCTGAGATGATAATGCCGTGGCCGGAATATTTCAGTCACATTCTGACCTACATTTGCACCAGCGATCATCATGCACCGAACGAAATTATAAATTTAGACATTCTGTTTTGGCGGCCAAAATATATCAATTTCAATGTACTTGATCATTATTATTTTATTTTGGGTTTTTTTATTTTGAGATTGTGCAAATATATGAGTTTCGAAAAATTCCATTGTCAAAAAATTATAATCAATTCAGCAAACCATAAAAAAACTCTTAAAAATCATCTTTATAATGACAAACCCATAAAAATTAATTTAAAAAAGAAATCAGAAAATAAAAAAATAGCTTTAAAAGTAATCTTCAGTATGAATTCTGATAATTGGTATTAAAAATGGTAATAAAAAGTGTTTCCTGCAATAAGTGGCAAACATTAAGAAGAACGAGGAATATAAATATTCGAGTTATGTAGACAAAATTCTATAAAATATAGTAGGCACATATTTTTTTTTTTTTTAAAATTAAAACTAGTATATAATACTATAATTAATGGAAAAGAAAATGGCACTGGAAACTGAAGTCCTTCGGCCTTGTAGGCACTTAGTTGGGTATCAGTTCTAGGAATTTGGGGCTAGAAGTGTATTTGTTTTTCTTATAATTTTAACATAAATGACTAATGTTGAGATTTATTGTATGAGTGCTTGCAAATATTCATAAATATATCGTTATATTTTTTCCAAAAATACGAAAAAGAGCGATGAGGATTCCCATTAGCACATCCAGACTTATCACAATGATTCATCGCGGATTTTCATCTGATGACATTCTGCAAATGGGCGAGAGTTCCGCATTATTTAAATGATTGGTTTTATAGATAGCGAATAGCTAATGTTTTTATTACTCGCGTAATTTTAGCACTTTTTACAGTGAGTTGAACAGTAAACTCAGTAATTTATTGTCCAAAGGCAGTCACATTAATTCAGTTATTTATTACGATCGATGAATGGCGGCCGCCTGAATGGATTCAAGTTTTCCCCGCTCACTCACTTCATCGCGATCGGTAGGAAGTGTCTGAAGAGGGGAGCGGTGCTATTGCCATTTGCTATTTGCCATTTGCTATTTGCTACTTGCCATTTGTGATTCCGAATCGGTTACGGCTGTTAATTATTCCAGACTTCTGCCATTGTCCGGGACCCAGGAAATGAGCAAAAACAATCCGATGATCAATAGGAACGACCTAAGCAGCAGGAGGGTTGGAGGGTATCGGATTCAGATTCGGAATAGGACTCGGGGTCCTGTATTAATTAGCCCCTCGACTCACCGCAATTCTTCTAGGTAGGAGCGATTTCCCTAAAGAAGCGTGGCGAAGAAGCGTGAGAACATTATTGGTCGTGGTGTGATCACAGATCTGGGGACCTGGAACCCTTTCTGTCCTGTTGTTTGCTTACCCCAATCCATAGACAATGCGATTATGATCAGATTGATTGGATTGCGAAATCGGGCGTAGGTATGCGCCAAAGAAAGCCGTTTCCTCTCCGGCGATCGCCGACTGATCTGCTGACATGTTTCGCAAGAAATTTATGTTTGCTCGTATATATTTACCATATTTACTTAATATTCAATAGTTGTCTGACGGGGCTTGACATGGGTAAACAACAAGTCTAACTGATGATCACTCCGATCACTGGGAGAAAAAAGCAGTAAGGGGTAGAAACATATGGGGACAAAGAGTAAGGATCGGTAATCGATGCAAAAAGTAAAATATTATTTAAACTGTTCAATTTAGCATCTTAGTTCATCTTAAAAAATAATAGTAAGAAGTAACCTTTCCCTTTAACAGGAATTTGTTAATAGTTAATAATTGTTAAATATTTATGTCATACTTTAAGATTCTTCCAGTTAAGAGTTTTTAACACTTCGCTCTTTTTTATTTAAATTAGAAATACACAAAATATGTAAACAACTCCTGAAAAGTGTCAAATTTTAAATAATTGCCCTAGCAAAGTGGCTATTCAGCGCTTTTTCAAAATACGTTTTGCTCAAGATTTCGAGTAGTCAGTTTTCAATTCGGGACAAGTTTTTCCTTGTGCAGAACGCCGAGTTCTTTTTCTGTTTTTTTCCCCGCTTTGTGGATTGAGTTTCATGGCATTTTGTGTAGCCTGCTTGGTGCGAATTGAAATGCCCGGGTGAAAAAACAAAACCGAAGGCATCAAATGACCGCGAATGCGTTGGGAAGCGCGAAGCATAAAAAAGATTTTGTTTTGCTCGAAATGCGAGGGAGTTGGGGGGCGTCGAGGGCTGGGGAAGTGGGTGTGGCCTGGTGCGAGGGCCCTGCCCTTGTCTGTGCAGAAATTCCTGCTCGACGGAGGCCCGGGTATTTATTTTGGATCCGCTGACTCACCGATGCTGTCTGTTCACCATGGCCTGGTATTCATGTATTCATTCTCGATGCTCGACGCCCGATTCTCATTCTCATTCTCGATTCACGACTCTGCGCCTTGGCTTGCATTCACATTCACATCCACTTCCACATCTATATCCACATACACTGCAAAATATGGGGGCTTTGTGGACGGGGGTGTTCGGCATGAGCAAGAGCCAAAGCAAAAGCGAGTTGCACCAACTGGTAACCAATTCTCGACAATTAAAGAATCAATTTACTTAACGTTGCTGGCGAATCGCCTGACGCCGAATGAGTTGTCGTCCGCGGAGTGCGGGTTTCTCTGGGGGGATGCAGTGGGGTGGGGGGATCGGAGGGTCGGGGGTCGGGCTTATGCAGCACCACTCAAGTGGGGCACGATTACATGGGCTTGTACATAACCCCCGGCCAATGCACACATCAAGCGCTGATGATCGGCACGATAATGGAGAATCCAACTGATGAAGTCAAAGTCAACAGTGAAAAAGCGAACAACCGAAAAGCCACAGATGCTGCGGCTTGGCAGAAATATCTCCAGAATTTACGATCCATACTGAAGAAGTGGAAGGCAATAATCCAGGGAATAAGTACTTGGAGGGCATCCGAACAAGATATGTTTCCTATTGGATTCTCTAGGTACAGAACAAATATTTTAAATGCTCCTCAAAACAAGTAAAATTACTTGATTTAATACTTAAAAAAGGGTTTTACATATTTTCAAAGAAATGGTTTTATTAACTGGTTGCAAAATAATATTAATCAGACGTCATCGAATTCCATAGTTATTAAATGGAGTGCATTTCACTCATGTTGTAAGTTAAATCTTATCTTATACGTGTATTACGTAATTTTATTTAACTTCTAAATGAAGATTAACATTTTTCAAAAATAATGTTGGCAATTAAAAACTTGTACATGCATTACAAATTATAAATGTTAAGCATGTCTTAGCTTTATTAAACATATTCTTTTGTGTCTTTTGTTCACAGCCGCCAAAAAGTAGTTAAGAAGTACCTAACGACATTCTTTAGTTATGGTGTGTCGAATTTTTAAAAACCGTCTCTGCGCGTGCTAAAATTTCAATTGAGGCTTCGACTCTAAGTCCAAATGGCGGTCTCCAGTCAAATGGCAATAAATAACCCAAATCGAAACGAACCCAAATAGTTATAGTGGGGGAGGGGGGGAATAGAAGAATATAGGGAAGAACAAAAAAGGGATTGCCGCATATTAATTAGAAGCCACTCGGATGGCACTGGAAAACACGAGCCCTGCCCCAGAGCATTTTAGTATGCACTGGGCGTAGACAAAGTCGCGCCTCGACTGTATTCCATATAGCCATCCTGCCTCCGTTGGCAGTGCGCCCGCACAATTCCGAACCCAAATCCGAGGCACTTGCCACCGACACGTGCACCCACTAGGAAACATTTCTTTTCTCAGTACTTCGATGGGGGGACAACAAAAAAAAAGAAATTCGGGTTCGACGATCGGGGGCGCTGTGTAAAATCGTTTAAGTGAAATCAATGTTCTCCATTTGGAAATGCATATAAAGAAAGTGCCTCCAGAATATCTAGAGGCTTGGATCATAGAAAATCGAAATTTATTGCGGCCACTTGATGCCATCGCTATTGCTTCTCATCTGGGGGATCAAACAAATGGAAATTGAAACAAATCGATTTGGATAATGGAGGCCGAAATGATTGAGGCATGCGTTCATATATTTGCATATTTTAGGCATTTCAAAATATATTTAAGTACTCGATTAGTTTGGCATCTGCCAAATATGGGTTTTGGACCAGACCACAATCCCTTTTTCCTGGTTCGGAACACGCTTGCGAATAGTTTGCTATTCTTGGCATCTGTCATGCTGCATGCTACATGCTACATGCTGCATGCTGCATGCTGCATGCTGCACATCTGCCCCTGCATCTGTGTCCCAAACTCCCACCCCTCGGGAATAATGTGGCTCCTGGCCAATTTCAAAGTGCCCGGTGCGTAGGTAGTCGCTTTATGAGGTCCTCTCCACTCGGTTCGTGGCCGTAACCTGATCGCTTTCACAGAACCCGAATGCCATTATCATTATCCGCCTCGTCTCATGTCTCTATCTGCCACACACAAACACACACACAATGCCCAGGAACAGGGCTAAACAATTTTCGGCTCATATAACGCAGCTCAGTCCCTTGGCCAGGTCTTTCTCCCCGGGTTTTCTGGGACTGGTCAGTCACGTTCTGCACTTGGAAAAACTTCTATACATATTGTAGACTATTCCTTCGAAATAAATTTTAAGTTATTTTTTATTCTTTGCTAGGATTTAGAAGCTTAAATACTTGATCGAATCTATTAAAAACTTTTCTTAAGCAACGTTAATTTAACATTAATTTAAACATCCTTTTTTAAAGACTTTATAAATTGTAGAGTGCTATTAAAATAACTTTGCCGTCGTCTTAATGATGACAAAAACATGAATATTATTTTATATAATATTAATATTATATATTGTAAATAATATTATTGTAGTTTCTTACAAGTTTTTGATATAAATATTTAAACATAGAAATGTTTAAGCTGAAGATAAAGTCTTCTTTGTTTTATTTGTTATTACATCTGAAAGCGCAATTACATTAAGATTTTTTAATATTCGCATGAGTCGTTTGCAACAAATTATGCAATAATTTATAAAAACTAGGGGATAGTTATCTTGTATTTATTTTCCTACCCAAATTGATTATTATTTCAAAGAATGAAACCGATACTCAACAAAATTTTGTTGAGTGCACAATAAAATTGAGGGGAGGGACTTGGACGGACCCGGTTGGACAAACCTGAAAACACTGGGAAAGGAGATCAAAGATCAGAGAGCTCGCTCCCCCAGCGACTGGCTCTTAATTTCCTCGGGGCCTTATCACAGGTAGTAAAACCAACAGGAAAAGTGCTGCACTTGAATGATTCCCAGTCAGAGGGAGGAGGGGAGGGGGGCGGAGATAGGGGACGGGGGAGTGACTGGCTCTAATGCTGACTTAAATTTGGCCCACGGCTCTGGGTTATTAGCTGAAATGCATTTTTCCCTGCCTTTTATTTTTGGAATCATGGTTATGATAAATTGTTGTCGGTCTAATTCTGAGTAGCAATTAAAACGGGCGGGAAACAAGGGTTAAGCGAAGTTAGGGGAACTTTTATCTCTGGAGATAGGGAAACATGAAAGCGAACATAATCCCGGGTTAAGATCATTTCGGGATGATATGAACTCAAATTAAAGGCTAGAAGGCGGCTCTGAAGTTAATGGAATTATAAATGCTAACCTTAAATGTTTTAATTTGCTGTGTTTCTTGGAAACTTTTGTTTTAAAACGACTTGAAAATACAATTTTAAAATGGATAAAAAAGAACACTCTAAAATAGATGTTCAAAGAGCTGTGACAAAGTTTTAATGTCTTTTTATTCATTTGATATGCGTTGACACAAACAAGATTTTTCTTGGTTCCTTTGGGATTCTATCCCTTGGGCTTGAATCACTTTTCAGCTTTGACAAAGTTATCCAAAATTATCCAAAAAAGAGATTTCCAATATGCTTACTCAGGCATATTCGTTATGTTCTTTTTCGTAAAAAACAATATACCCCAACTTCCTTATCGGTTTATGTTTATCGGAAGCCAAACACAAACTCAATTCAGATCAACTTCCAAAAAAAATCTGCAAATAAACTTTCATTGCAATTGTTGTTCGTTCCACGCTTATCTTGAATTGATGTTTTTTTGGGGCGGAAAGCGTCCAACATAAATTCAGATGGCTTCAGTGTCTTTTTTGTTCAATGTAAATACGAGAATAAATTTCTTTTATGGCTTAAGTTTACGACACAGAGCGAATGCGTGAGTGAATGTGCATTTTTTGTGGCACAGGAGTGAGGCAGCAGGAGGTTACAAGGAATGCAAGAAAAAGAGGGAAAAAATCGACTCGAATCCATTGCATTCGGTTTTTGGCAGGAATTCGAATTTGAGTTGGAAACCCGTTGAGAATTGCTGTTTGTTTTCTACATTTTTAGCACGCAACACTGAGCAAACGATGAAAAACTGGCCATAACATTAATATAAACAAGCGACCAAAGCAAATGGACAAAATGTAAATTTAAACTTTTCACAATCATCCGACCAAACTGTCCCTTTTTTCGAGGGTGTGTGCGGTCGTTTACTATATACACTGAAAAAAATTTGGAGACGAGATGAGGTTATTTTTTGATTTAAAAAAATCACTTTTTATCTTAGAGGAATTGTATTTATTGCTAACTTAACAAAATTGTGAAACAGAAATATTATAAAATTATTAAATGGTGTTTTATAATTTGTAAAAAAGCGATAGGAGTGTTCATTTGAATTGGGCATGACTTAAAAAAATCAATGCCTAAACATTATCCAATTTTACAATTTTGGGTATCTTTATTATTGTCCTTCACCAATATTGATTTTTTCCCGATTTGTTAATTGAATTATATTTTTAATCAATTCTATTTTGGAATTTTTTTAATTTTCCATTGAAATTAATTTTGGAATTTAATTTTAGGGAATTTGAATTTTTTTCAGTGCATTTTTATTTGTCGCTGTGTGCGTGTTGCAGTTGGCACTATGGAAAATGGACATTGTTGTGAAATGCTTTCAATTCGGTGTGTCCATCGACGACACCACCGAAAAACAAAAAGTGGCCCAATGTGCTGCCGTTCTCCTAGCCGTTGTTGTAGTTGTTTTTGGCTTTCCGTCAGCACGTCACATGTGGGTGCGTCGATCGCCCAGAGAGGGGTGGTGGGAGGGGGGCCGAAAAGAGAGGGAAGGCGATTGCGAGGGGGAGTGTTGGGTTAGGCACTGTTGTTTTCTCTTTCCACTCGCTCATTTTAATTTTTGTTTTTCATGTGACCCCATTTCACCGAAAATGTTTTCCACCAAATGTGTTTGTACACATGCACATGCAGTGGCGTACGCAGGATTTCATTAAGGGGGGCTGAAGATCTCAGGGGTTTTTATTTATAACATTTGGTTTAATTAAATACACACATTTAAATCAATTACATGTGTATATTAAAAGTATATTCACTTAAAATGTTTTGTGTTTAGTTTTATATTGACTTTAGAAATTAAAATCAAGTTAATATCACATATTTTATGTTTATAAGAAACCTAAACTTTAGTTAAAAGTATATGGAATAATAAAAAATAGTTGTAGAATTTAAATTCATATTTTATTTAATTAAATATTTTTCTGTGTGTAACTGCCTAAATTCTTAAGCCCCCTCTCCCTCGTCCGCCCCTGTGCCTATGTTGGTAATTATGTAGGGAAAAGCAGCCCGACAGGAAAACCGTAAATGCGAATTGCCAGCCTTTAATTTAACCCATCATCGGTGCAGCTGTCCCCTTAACACCCCCGCCTCTTGGAACCCCCTGATGAATTCGAGCTGCGAAAATGATAAATACAAACACAAACACAGGCCGTTATGATGGCCTAATGCACACTGCTAAAACAACAAAAACGGCAGTAGCAGCAGCCTGCGTTGGTTTCGATTTCCATTTAATTTTCCTTAATTAACCCGCCGACTAAATGTGGTGGCTGATGTGACCCCCCGCGGGCATCCGTTATAAACAATATAATGCTCTATGATTACAGGCGATCTTCTATAGCTCCCAAATAAAACAGTCGGTTTATAGGTCATCTAATTGCAGTCAAAAAGGAATTTCAATTTTAGAACTGTACTCCTTGGATAGAATAAATTTTGAATTATAAAAATTCAAAAAATATTAGAATATGATAAAATATTGCACATATTCATTTATATTTGATATGCCAATTTGTAGGATCTTATAATCTATAGAAATCTAATAATTAAAGATATAATTTCTTTAAGCATTTTTTTTGAAATTACTTTAAATAATATTTAGTCACCATTTCCTGGCTTTCTTGATTCCAAAAGTTTTATACATTGTATTTATATAAAATATTTTTTTATCATTGAGATTCTACAAATATAAATCTCAGAAACTTTTAGTTTTTATTGAAATAGTCAGTGCGACATAAAGCCAATCAAAAACAAGAGAGAACGCTATAGTCGAGTGCCTCGACTATTAGATACCCTTTACTCAGCTAAACAAATTAATATAAATATGCCTTCTCGTATGTTTTTCTCCGCTCGAATTAGTACCTTGGTCAGCTGTTCCAAAGTAATCCGTTAGATGGCGCTACGGGCCATGAAAGCGGAAATGTAGGCGCTAGCCAGGCTTAAGCGTTTAATGGGTTTTTGGGCGTTAGAGTGGGCGTGGCAAACTTTTATTAGGTCAATCGATAGGTATTGACGAAACAAACACATATCAATTAAAATTTTCATAATAGCATCAAAACTGTGGCCACAGCTTGTGGCTTGTGGGCGTCAGAGGGGGCGTGGCACCATTTTGAAACAAACTTGCGCTGCGTAGGAACTTCTAAAATCTACATGCAAAATGCCAATCTTCTAGCTTTTATAGTTTCCGAGATCTCAGCGTTCATACGGACAGACGGACATGGCTTCCTTCTACCTGTTACATACTTTTGCACGAATACAATATACCCTTTTACTCTACGAGTAACGGGTATAACTATCTTACACATATCATTATTTTTTTACAAATACTGCATTTAGTTTAATAAAATCTCGTATTTCTCTGTAATAACCTGCATTTTGCTCCATTTCAGTGCTCTCCTTCCCGCAATCCCCAGCCGATGATGAGCAGATGCAGAACGATGAGGACTTTGACTACAATGGAGTTGACCAGAGTGCACCCAGTCCGCAGACGAAGTCCCCGCGTCCCATTACCAGCGAGAAGGTCAACAAAACTGTGACAGTGAATGGGATCCGGGGCCAGGATGTGGTGCTCAAGTGCGATGTGGGCACCAATTGTGAGTACACTCGTTATTTCACCTGAGGAAGTGCTCTGAAACTGTATATATACTTCCAGTGGACGCCCCAAATGTCGTAGTGCTGTGGAGTTTCGGGGTTCATATTATCTCCAATGGCAAAAACGTGGTGCAGCCCAACTATGCTCTGAACGAAAACTATGACCTGACCATCGTAAAGGCGAGTTCCCAGGAGGCCGGCGACTATAGCTGTAAGGTCCTGCCCATCGAATCCGTGGTCAACACGAAAGTAATCATTGTCGATCAATCCCTGGATGCGATCGCACCGGAGAGTTCGGTTTCTGCGGCGGGATCTTTAAGCAGTTTTCTTGGATACACGCTCCTCGGATCGGCATTATTGCTCCTGGGGATGGGCAAACATTAGCTTAGTTTAGTATTACGCTGGCAGGTCACTGCCATCTCTTCTACACTCTCCACTCTTCTCACAGGAAATGAGCATTTGAAGTCTTTGTTGATTGTAAATTTTTGTATTTGTAAAGACACAAAATCAACTTTATTTATTAAATAAAAAAGGAACCAAAGTATACTAAGCCACCAGCAGCGATTGCTTTATCTCTCCAGGAAAACTTACGGATTTAATTTGTTTTGTTTAGTTTTATTTATTTACTTATCATGGACTCAACAAAAATTACAATAATATACGTAAGACACTGGCTTTTAAGAATTCTTCTTTTATATATGATTCTGTATATGTGTATATATGCTAAAGGTCGGCATTTGAAATCAGGACCTTGTCAAAACTTTTTTATGGAACTTTCTTTTTGTGTCGTTTTGATTTGATTTAGCGAGCAATCAGCATCGTTTGATTGCGTCGGTTGGCACGTTTATCGATCAACTCTAATATTATGATTCTTAAAAAAAATATATATAAAATATACATACGTACAGTGTACATGGTCAGCATGCTATGGCGATATTCCTCAGGTATTGTAGCAGAATCAAGGACAAAAAGTGAGGCCGAACCCTATCAACAACAGTACACAATATATATATATATGTATATATAGCTCTCTTCGATTTTTTCAGTATCTCTTAAGCATAGGTACTCCCGCGGCCTTTCTTTTGATTTGTATATTTTGAATCTTTCGGTTCCATTGAGTTGATGTGGCGTTGTTCCGTAAAAATAAGTTTCATATGTCTGGTGTGGTAGGTACACATATGTATGTCTAAGCTTTGGTCTAGTTTATAAAATATTTAGCGAGCCATATGATTAATCCCTCCCGGTGCCCCTCTGATTCGGTTACAAATATGTTTGTAAGTACGCTTGGATATACAAAAATATTGTACGCATTGCAAATCCTAAAAAGTCACTAGATCCTTACCCATTTTTTGCTAAACTACGCTTTCGCTTGGGGAACAAGTGGATTTCATATTGGATGTATTAAAGTATTCCATCAACCCAGTATGGAATTCTTCCCTGTGCGATGAACTGCTTTCGTTTTCGTTTTCGGCTCGGGTTTCTCCTCAAAGGTGCCAACTTTTACATGCATAGAGACAAAAACAAATAAATATTATAGCTAAGGTTAATCAAAATGTTACGTTTGTTTGCGGTTTTGAACCGATCGTCGCAGTTTATCTGTTCTAATCAACGCTAGCTCCAATGTCGCTTCTTTAAATGTTCCTAAACTTAATTAACTTTAATCCTCGGCCTTCTCCCAACAAACCATTGGTGTAAAGTCCCCTGCCTGGCACAAATGTTTCAGTGCTGATCGCATCACACAGCGTGTACTATAGCATTAACATTAACATTGACCCAAGCCAGAGGTCGCGCATTAGCATTTGTATAGTTAGAATACTTTAGGTTCGCTATCGCTCCGATGCCATCGATAGCTGAGTAATCCGGAAATACGTATTTAGTATGTACACTTTTCGGTCTGAATAATTATAAATGGCACCCCTTAGAGGCGGATTCGCAGCAGGAGCGCTGCCAGCAGGACTCCCCCCAGATTCAGCTGCCGGATTGCTGACGCAGCTCCTCGGCCCACTGGACCGATCCCGGCCTGCATTATTTCACCCGGAGGAAGGTCCATGTCGCTGGGCTGGTCCGTTTCTGCGGGTTGGAAGTCACAGGCATGAGATGTGAGAACTTTTACTTGCACTCCAATACTACTCACCATATTCCCCCTCCTTGGAGAAACCATCCTGGACTGTGAAGATGTGCTCCTTCGAGAACTGGGACCATCCATGGGTGTTCTTCGTCTTCACACGAGCATGCCACACTCCACTATTCAACTCCATCTGGTGCGTGATCTTCCAGATGTTATCTGTGTTGTTGTGGCGCCGCGTCTGCAGCATTGCAACAGTGCTCCATTTTTGCGACTGAAATTGAAATATATGGATAAGCTCTTAGGGTATTGAAAAAGTATTGCAGAACATATTTGAAGTAAGTATTTAAGTATGTCTTTCAATATATCTATATATAAAATTTGGTCTTTAATTGCATACTTTTACACCTTTTAAGATTTCATTAAATCTTTTGCTTGGTCGGAACGTTCCTTAATATTGATATTTAGTATTTAATACCTAACTTTAGACCTTGACACAAAATTTGCCTGCATTTCATAAAACTAATTTTACGAAAATTTAGTTGTTAAACCCTTGCAGAGGGTATTATAATTTCAGTCAAAAGTTTGCAACGCAGTGAAAGAGATACTAGGAGAGTAGATCTAGCCATGTCCGTCTGTCCGTCCGTCCGTTTCTACTTTAAACTAATCCCTCAGTTTTAAAGCAGTCTGCTTGAAACATTCCCAAAAGTTGTCTTTCTATTGCAGGTAGTATATATGTCGGAACGAGCCGCATCGGGCGACTATATCTAATAGGAACAACCGACAAAAAAAAATTTTAAAAAATATAAATTTGTTGTTTTTAAGTTTTTTTTTGTTGTTCTTTGGGATGTTGTAATATTTAAGTACTATTGAATTACAGTTTTAATTAAATTAAAATCGGTCATCTATTTCTTATAGCTCCCATAGAAAAGTCTATAAATTTAAAAAAATGCAAATGAAATAAAATTGTTATTTTGCTGTTTTTCTATTTATCAAAATATTCCTTTAAGATATAGAAATTATTTACGATAACCTTTTAGTTTTGTCAATATCGGACAACAACATAGCTGCCATCGAAACGATGGCAAAATTCAGCGCAAAATCGACATAGCTTTATGGTTTTAAGTAATAATATTTTGTAATAACTGCAAGGGTATATAAACTTCGGCTTCGCCAAAGCTTGCTTCCTTTATTTGCTGTATAGTTTTAAGGAATAAGACTAAACTCACCGCAGTTAGTAGGTAATTCAACATGGCCTCGGAGAGGGGCTGCCGACTCCTGACCAGCCAGTGCAGGGTAACCTTGTTTCCCTCAATGGTCTCTGACTCGAACTGCGGGGTCTCCGGATCGTAGCTGACCTGCACCTTCACCTCGTTGGACCCAATGGAGTTCTCCACATGGCACAGGTACTCGCCCAGATCGCTGTCCATCACATCTCTGACGATCAGCGTGGTGCGGTTGTGGGCCTTGTGCATGGAATCCTTAAAGGAGTACTTCTCGGAGATCTGCAGGGATTTGCCATCCTTGATGAAGTAGCTCCTGCCAATGGGCTTCGCCCTGTAGTCGCAGTACAGCTCGGCGGTGGCGCCCTTTTCCGTGTTCACATGATGCCGGTGGGTGGACACCAGGGGCATGTACTGGACATCGATGTGGACCGTGCCATGTGGCGGATCGCGACTGCCATCGTCGGCCAGGCACTGGTAGAACCCGGCGTTCTTCTCGTCCACGCTGTCCAGAACAATCACGCCGTTCTGATGTTCGACGGTGTATTGCTGGCCGCTGATATCCTGCAAGAGATTCGGTAGGGGAAATGGACGGATGATGCCAGGAATGGGAGCTGAGTGGGTAAGGTGTGTGGGCCAAAAAACATACATTAAAGGACCACTTGATAGTGGCATTGCCGGGCAGATAGGTTCGGCACTCGAGCGTGTGGTGGTCGCCCTGCCTGAACGTCTGCGATCGATCCGTAACATCGCGATCGTCGCAGAGGATCGACAGCCGGGCGCCCACCCGCAGTGTCGTGTGCTGCTGAACCTTCTGGGGCAGGATTTCGCAGTAGTATTCATCCGAGTCCTCCGGCGTCACATGTTTCAGGAGTATGGAATTGTTCTTCATGCCCTCCACGCGCGGACTGATGGCGCTCTGACCGCTGGCAATGATTTGCTCCTTCTTGTACCACATCACCGCATTGTTAACTGTGGGTAGATTTTATTTTACTGGGTATTCGGCAGATATTGGACAAAGTGTAACTCACGTTGGAAGTTCCTTGCATCGCAGTTGAGAACCACATTGTCACCCGGCTTAGCTTCGATCCTCAGATCAGTCTTCTCAAAATAAGGCGGTGAGTATTGAGGATCTACGTCTTCTGTTACATCAACAACCCCTGTGTCTCCTTCATCAATCTCGTCGTCATATGAGTCGTAGTCAGGATCGTTTTGATAATCATCTTTTTGCGCATCTACAGGCAAGCCATGACAACAAACTGCAAAAAAAAAGTATTGATTTAATATCAAATATCAAATTCATGCTTGCAAAACAGTCCTTATTTTCCTTTTCTACTGGCAACCCATTGAAAAATGATATTCCATAAACTGTTGTAGAGAACTTTGCCAACTTTAATCATTTAAAAATTGTTCTCACGCTTATTTTATTTTTTAAATCCCAATAGTTATAAGACCATTACCTCATTTAATTCGGTAAAGGCAAGGTGCATTGGTGAGTCACCAGAATGGTGCCTGAGTGGTTTCAGACTTAATTGGAATTGATAAAAATCACACAACATCCATAGCAACTTCCGCTTCCAATCAAAGGGTCGCAAGTATTGCCTGTGCCACAAAGAACTCGTTTATGAGAGTGAAGTTCTGGAGCGGAAATGAGTTTCGAACAGGAACTAGGGGGAGATACCGCAGTGCATATTTGCAGATACTCACTTCTGATTAAGTATTGCTGTTTGGTTTTAGTCTCGGCAGGCAATGCCCATCTATGATTATTTTTAGAACCCGTCTGTAAGTCCCTAAAAGTATGCATCGTAGAACTCCCTTTTCTTGGCCATCTCCATGGATTATTTCTTCATCTCAGTAAACAATCATGAACGAAAGCAAACTAGATATGAAGAGATATATCTAAAGCCCTGGGTAAATTACCGCAGCTAACGTCAAAGCTTTAGAATTCTTCACTAATCTCTCTATTTGAATTATGACTCCTACAAAATGAGTCTATGCAAATCGTATGAGTAATTTTTCCAACTGCAGTATTTTATCTATAGGCCATAACAATTTACATGCCATATGTGGCCGGAAACTCACTTGTCATCTAACGGCTAATTGCCGAATGACTCATGACCAACTTCATCATGGCCATCGCATAAGGTTATGATGGATATTGCCGGGATTACGCAAGTCGCAAGTCGCTTAAACTCGTTATCAATGGCCGATAAAAGCTTTTTAAGGCAGACACTCGATCCAAAGCCGGAGCCAGCTATCTTATCCAATGGCCTCTCCTTATATCCGCTGCGCCACGCAGTCAGACGCCCCTTTTATGGTCTGGGCCACTTGGCCGGAACAAAATAATAGCTGGCCAAGAGCAGCTGGGGACCTTCAGCGATCTGGTTTCGGTTTTCTGTTGTCGATTTTCCTTTTACAGTTTTCGACGACTGGGGAAGCTGGCCATCGACTGCAATCTTCTTCGACGGCCCGTGTCAAGGTTATGGTCCATGGATACAGAGGCGTCCAGGCAGAGTCGACTCCACGCAATTGTTGTCTGCAAGTAGGTCAGCACCAAAAGCCAGCCAAATGCGTCATCCAGCCCCCTGGGTTGGAGCGTTGTCCTTGGATCGATGTCGGGGGTTGCAAATAAAAAACAGCTCCCTGGCAACATCAACAACCACTCGGCTTAAGTTCATCCGTATGGATGATGTGCTCAGACCCACTCCTATTCCCACTCCCACTCCCACTCCCAGTGCAATATTTCTAAGTGGGACAATGGCGTCAGGATGTCGCGGCGCCAGCTTCGCCTCCAGACTCTCTCGTCCTGCCACTCCTTTGTCTCCAAACTCGAGTTCAATGTTATACACAATGGCCATTTGTGGCCTGCATCGGCATTGTCGTGTCGTCGGGAATTTGTCGCAATCCACTCAATCCTTCTTCTGGCCAACTTTGATGACTCCGCATTCCTTGGCAGATGAAGTCATGTTCAATTGTCAAGGGAAAATCGCAAGTTGGCGTGGGCTGGCTTGGAATGCTTTGAATATGTTTATTACTATGAAATTGCATTTATTTGCTGAGATTGCTCTTTAATTTGAAACCAATAATGCATTTGCATATGCCAATGTTGTTATTTGAGAGTGAGATTCAATTAAATTTATGTTTAACTAGCTTTGAAGTTAAACAACTTTAGATTTTAGTGGTGATAAACTGAAAAACGTACCCAATGAATATTAAAAATGGAAAGTAGCACAACAGCACGTAAATAAATAATTAAATACTAATAAATAAGTGGCAAAAACTAGAAAACAAATAAAACTTTTCAGACTTCTTTAATTGAACTGTTAACAACTTTACATAGAATTCCATGTGCTTTTTCCTTGGGTATGCAATTATACTTGTTCATTACTTTGCCCCAGATTCCGAGTAAATATTATTGTTTTTTGAGTATAAGAGCCTCGTTTATGAGCTTTCTTAGCACTAGGCGCCAGTTACTACATATGTAAGTAGTATACTCCATTCCTATCAGGAAGGTCTTTAGTCTCGCCTGACCATTGATAACTCCCATTCAAGATTCAGTTCAAGATTTCCGATGGCAAACGGTCTGATTGCCATTTCATGATCACACTGCGGCTTCGATTTCCATGTCCTCCATATGGTCAGTAGTCGCATGAGAGATCGCATACAGAAGCGGATGAATTATGGGGTCAGTAAGTAAACAAATCCGTAGTGGCCCACATGGAAATCCTCGCCCAGTCTGCTGACTCAATGAAATGTGTATAAATAAATGATGGCAACTACTCGCCGCTTGCCAATCCTTAATACACAAAATTTTCGAAATCTCGAATAGGTTGAATCGGACAGATTTTGCCGCGTCGACAGAAAAGGGGAAACATTCTTTAATCGACATGTCATGTCTAAGTCGATGGAGAAGTCAGATTGTGACGGGGGTCTTTAAAGTGCCAGCCATGGGGGAATGCCAGAACGGGTCAGGGCAATCTGGACAGATATATAGGCTAATTTCCAAAATATACATTAAATGTTTATCTCCTTATTTGCTAAGTTCATAGATATTTTGTTATATGCAAAACAATTTATTCACAAAATAGCTTATTAAAAAGAAATTACTTTTTGACACAAATATTATTAATAATTTTGATGAAAAAAATACAACCAAAGTATTCTTTAATAAAATAAATGGGATATTTTTAAATAATTAATAAAATTAATGAATTTGAAGAAATGAATTCTGTTTCAACATTGCATGTACAACTTTCGACCTAGTTTTTTTTATTGAAACCATATGTTTGAAAGATAAACTATATTTAAATGAATTTTTTTGACGTCAATAACAAATTTGGAAAATCGATTATACATTTCTGTGTAAGGAGAAAAGATTAGGTTCTAGTTCCACTGTAAACAAAATTTCAATTGAAGAATTTGCATAGAGACAGCAAATAAAATGAGCAAAGCAGCCGCCAAAAAACACATAATAAATGGAAAATTAAATTGAAACCAATTGAAACGGCAAATCGACTTCCCGCCATTAGAAACCCATGGGTGGGGCCATTCTCTCCACACCCTCTGCAGCATTTTGATTGATCCAATCATTGATTTATTGTGCGATCTTTATTTTTGGAAACCGAACGTTGCGATCGGCTCGTCTTGCGAATGCGTAATTTGATCATTTTGCTGTTTTCGGGAAATACCGAATAAAAACTCCTAAAATTCAGCAGAGAAATGATTTACATATGCTCTGGTATTCAAAAATATGCACTCAATCGTTAATTCCAGGAATACTATTTTATTAGAGACCTGGACTCGATGCTTTCTGAATAAATAAACTGAATTCTTTAAAAAAACAAGTCTTCAGTAACATCTATTGTGCAATATAAATTAATAATTCGGATATGCACGGGAATTAAAAAAAACACTAAGTTCCAGGAATACTATTTAATTTGATTCCAATTCCCATTAGGGACAAGTCTTTATCAACTTGTGCAATTTAAATAAATAATTCAGATATGCATTCTCAATTCCAGGAATTCAATTTGATTAGATCCCAAAGGGACCTTGACTTGTGTTATTTTGAACCGATAAACCGAATTCATATTGGGAACAAGTCTTTATCAACTTCAGTTCTGCAACTGAAATTTTGAAAAAGAATTTAATGCAGAAAAACAAATATTTTTCTTGTTCGCTGGGAGTATTATGAAATATTGTTCAAATTGACTTGGGGTGGCAAGATGTTTTTGTAGGCCAAACATACTTGTACATATATTTTTAAGCAGCTAGACTATTGATATACGAGAAGGCAAAGCTTTGAATTCCCCACATGTGTCTGCGTTTTAGTTAGTTTTTTTGTTTTTTTCTTGGCCTTTCGCCGCCTTATCTCAAGGCTAAAATTGGATGAAATTTTTGTTAATTAAAAGCCCACGTTTATATAAAAATATTGAAATAAACAATATGGTCTATACCCTGGGACATCTGATAGCCTTTAATTCTGGGGGCGTTTCACGTACACATAGAAGAAGTTTACGAGCGAATATCCGACATCAAAATGCCAATCTTTGCACAGCGTTCGTGCAGTGCAAATATTTATTCAACTCGTTGGGCGTAATTTTGTATTTTTTCGTATTTCAGAACACATAGCACTCGGGAAAAGTTGGGGGAGTGGAAAGCCAACTCCACAGTCGTTCAGATATACGTGAACTGGAATGTTAGCCCTTATCAGCAATTTGCGACACAATTCCAAAAGCGAATGGAAGTTAACTTTCCGAGCGAGATAAGTGTTTGATAAGATATGCTTTATTTTCCACTGGCACCTACATTTTGGCCCTAGTGTGAGTTCAATTTACGCAAAAGATAATGCTATACGCCCGTGGTCACAAATACCTCTATATGCAATCGTATCTGGAGCTTTCTCGGCGGTACGAGTACGAGTATTTGTGGACGTGAGAGTTCATGAAAGTAGCTCATACCTATTTTTGTTCGATATTCGGTAATTCATAATATATGGAAACTTACGTAAAACTCAATGAGCCGTAAAGAAGTCATCACTTTGACATCATGTGCACATATATGTATAATTTGTTTTATTCCCACCATTTAAGGGGATTAATTGAACTTAGATAAGTTGTGAGTGACTCAAAATATTCCATTTTGGTTCAGAGTTTATTTCTGAAGAATATTGAAATTAGCACATTAATTGAACACATGGAATGATGCATGCTTTATTATAGAAATAACAGAATACTCAGGGTTCTCAAAATGTACAACTTTTTTGGAAAGCAACAGCAAAGCTCAAGATGTTGGTAAGTTATGTGTGTTTTCGGTTTTGGCTTATCTTAAGTGTTCAATTAAATACATATTTACAAATCAGTAGAATCGTCGAAATAAATTTTATTTGATATGAAAATTGTATCTGCCATAGTTACATCCCAAAGTGAAGTTTAACCTGATTTCAAGTCCAATGTTTTATGTAGAATCTGAAGACCCTCATTGCTTCTTTGGCTGCACTTTCCAATCCTCCTATCTCCTTATCTTTACAAGTAGTCATAAAAATATTACACATTCATTACAACTCTCTCCAACTTTCAGCTCTGAGATTTTCCCGGAATTCCCCCTTTTGGAAGCTCTCGATAAAAACCACTTCGGTGGCAATCAGATCTTGATTTTTGGAATTGGTTCTTTGGTTTTATAGTCCATTAGGTGGAGTCCTTGACTTACCGCAGTGTTGTCCAATTAGCAGGCAAATGAAAAGCAGCCAAGTCTTGTTCATGATGGTTTCTTTTTGACTGGTTAAATTTTGTGTTTGTTTATCGGCCTTAATTTGGTTCGGAGCTGTCGGAGGTAGGTCGTTAACTGCAATTAATATGGTTGGTTGGTACTTAATTAATTTGCTACATCCATTGTATTGCTCCCAAATGGGGAACCGCAAAAGCCGCCGAAAAACGTTTACAATTTATTTTTTGGTTTTATGATTTCTTAATTTTGCTTTTTGATTATTTTGTGCGTTTTGTAAGCAAGTCGCGCCGCGGACCGGAAACTTCTAATTGGCTTGGACAAAATGCAAGGAAAAGCGCTCACTACAAACGAATATTTCGCAAAAACATATGGTGGCGAGGGGTCGGGGTAGGGAAAATATATTGGACCGATCTGTAAACATTGCTCACTCGCTTGGCCGCGTTATGCAAGCCGTTCGCCGTATCTGGTCGCAATTTGCTCTCCGACGATAAGTTGTATCTTGAAGATATTATGATCTCTATGCGAAAAATCGCCATTTGTTAGTTTTGTGCTACTGCCGCAGTCGCTGGCTAATTTGCAGCTCAACTCGGGCCCCTCTCTCGCGGTACAGTACTTATCCCTTAGTGCTAACTTGACTGTTTTTTAGGGATTCATTTTGAAAAAGATTCTCTTTAACTCCTATACTATTCATACTCTTACACCTTTAACGATTTTACTATAAAGCTATATTAAAGTACTACAAACACTATAAAATCCCATAAAGTGTTATTATTCATTTTAATCTAATATTTTCGAGTCCAAAAATTCTATCAAACTAAATAAAGGCACAAAAAATGTTGTGGTAGGTATGAACAAATATGAAAATTTAAAATATTATAATGTATATAGGAGGCTTTAATTTGAAAAATTACTATTTCCGGGTAATAATGTAAACAATATTATTACAGTCACATAAACTACGATACATTATTGTCCTCGTATAAAAACGAACTCGTTAAAAGCCTTTAAAACAATTTCAGAATATTTAATAGATTAGTTGAGTTAAAGGAAGTCCGACTGTATATTTCTCTTTTGGGGCTGACTCAATGCCAGCCGGCCAGTAAACTGGGTCGAAGCAGGGGCTTTGGGGGGTTCTGTTGGGTCAGGGTGTGTAAATTCGAATAGCATGCAAATGTTAATGCATATAAATAAATTAATGTGCAAATGCGAAAAATTGTTCAGCACGAAAAGTCGATATAGAAAAAAGTACGCAAGCACACCAATCACCGAAATTCGGGTTGTTGATACAAAAGCCGTTTGCAAATGGTGTTCATAGCTCTTCCATACAAACAAACAACGATCTGCATATTCGCAAACACATATTTGTTTAAATGGTCGACTCATAAAACAAACAATTTTGCAATGCCCGATGATCATAATCCATCGCTGATGCATTTGCAAAAAAATTTCAAAATTTCGTAATATTTGCTAAACAAATAAAAGTCGACTAAGTGATTCTCTTTTTGGCAATGGGTTTTTGAACAAATAAAAATTAAATTGGCGCTTAAAAGTAAAAAAAAGTCGAAGTCCAAAAATATAATGATGAAAACAAATCTAATTTCTATGTTGGAAAATACCAATTTTTTTATTTTGAAATATTTTGAACTGATTTTAATTTCTTTAAAATATCTTATCTGTTAAACTTAATTTCCAACAAACAATTTTCTGATTGCAAATGCTTGAAAAATAGTTTATTTTAATTATTACAGTTAAAAGAAATATTTATACTGTCGGCAACTTTAAGGCAGCGTCCTTGCTTGTACTTTTATTTGTATTCTTATTTGAAATTCCTTATTTTCTCTGCCTCACTTAGCATCCCTCAACAAAAGCTTCCTAACGAGCAAACAGAGTTTTTCCCAGCCACTTTTTTATGGGTGTCATCTAATACGACAACACCTCAGATATACGACCGGCAATGTGTACTGACACACTGGTTGACACCTACGTCTACGAGACCCACCTTTAACTATTCTAAACGGAATTTACGGACCCTCTGTTTATCAATTACAAAATCAAACGAAAAGAGAAGGTGCAAACTGGGTTCTTTTTTTATACTCTTGCAGACGGTGTTATAAATGCAATGTTAAATTGAATATATAGTCGATTTTGAAAAGTGCACTTGCTTCACAGTGACCTACTCGGTTTTGTTTATATTTGTCAGATTAATATCCCAAAAGGGTATATTAATTTTAATTAATGTTACATAATTGCATATAAAATTTAATTATAGTCGTATAATACTGTTAAATAACTGACTATAAAACTGTACTTTGACTCCAAGAGTATATAAGCTTGCCGTGCTTGATTTTTGTAATTGATGATTTTACTGTATGAATAATAAACTTGTCCTATGAATAAACTTGTCTCCTAGGGTATATAAACATTTTTGCTCGCTGCTTTAAGTTCACATTTTTTTCTATTGAGCACTTTAATTTTTAGGGTACAAAAAGTTCGGTTTGGTATGGCTAACATTTTTGTTCGTTTTTTGTTAGCTCGTATCTTCTGCCTGTTGGGTTCACTTCAAATCAATGCCTTGATTGTTGTTGTTTTTGTCTTTGGCGCTTTGTTTATTTACATTGCGCTCCAAGTTTACACACACAGGCACACACATTCGGTGCACTTGTGTGCGAGAGTGGGTGGGAGGGGGGCAGATGCAGCTGTCTTCTATCCGTAGAATGCTTTTTTGAGGATCCCAAATGGAATTGAAAACTTTTCTGTTATTTTCTTCACAGATTTTTGACTACTGTAAATAAAAACAAGCATAGAAAATTTGTTTTCCATTCAGCATTTTTGTTTGCATTTCCCTTTGGAGCAGCTGTATCCAATTTTTCCGCTTTTCCGTTCCCTATATAGATCCCCTAACCGCTTTCCACTCTCATTTTCGATTTCATTTGGCCATGCTACTATGCCAATTTTTGTGTTGCTTGGTGTACTTGTGGCCGGCACAGCGACAGCTATTTTGCATTTTTCTACATATTTATAGATTGTTTAGCGAAGAATGTGCCAAGCAAAAAAGAGGCAGAGAGCAGGATTGCAGCTGAAACCAAATTTGAATATCTGCCAAATGGGCTCCCAAGGAGTAGGATAAAAGTGAAGATATAGAGCACATCTGCTGGCCATTATTATGAATCATCGCCTGTCGTTTTGGCCCGAAGCCGAAATCACAAACTCTTTAAGTTCGGCGTCTCAGGGCCAGTTACAGAATGGATGCGAGGCATTCAAGATTGTTATTTTGTTTCGTATTTATTTTGCCCAGAGAGCCTAGAGGAAGAAAACTGGTTTTTTAGCTGCTTGGTCCCCAGATACCGACGCGAGATGATTTTCGGCTGAAGCGTTACAAAAGTGGTTTGCTCGTCTTTCTTTTGTTTTTCCCGATTTCGTACGAATTACGTTTAACACTTTCGCCCGCACGCCATTTTAGTTGCTTTTTACACATCTCAGCCAGGTCGAATGCAAACGTTTACAGCTGTCGGTAAGTGCCTTAAGCCTAGGGATTCGCGGGGGAGGGGGTTCAGTTGGATGTAGGAATGGAGAGTGGAGACCTTCTGCTGCCGCGGGGGCTTCGTGGAGAACCGAACGCGATGCTGTTCAACAGACAACTGAAACTTCGAGCATGCTGTGCATTTTAAAAGCACCGCCAAAACGGAACGATGGTATGCGGAACACCGGCCCTGAGTTGGGGACAACTCGCTCGCTCTCTTTCTCTCTCTCTCCCGCATTGGGGCCTGCAGAAGCAGTCAATTTCTGTGTGCAGAAGAACTGAGAGACAAACAGGGAGAGCGCCCTTGGGCCCACATGAGAATTCAGCAGTTGATTGAAGTTCTAAGCCCTAAATCCAAAATTTTCTTTCCAAAAAGTTGCAAAAATATTCATAGATTGTTTGTTTTTCATTTCATTTCATTTCATTTCGTTTAATTTTTTTTATTTTCATATTGGACATCATGAATTACACATGTCATTGCACCACTGCATCCATACTTTTTTTTCCAAACTGTGGTATTTTTAACAGTAACTTATGCCGGTGTAAACTTTAACCTTTTTTGTATTTTATTTTATTACAAAGTTAAACTTAAAATAGTATGTTAAGCGTTTCAAGCGATCATGAATAAATGTTCATTTTGGAAGACATTGAACTTCTTAGCTCAAAGACTACTGAACTGGTTGTTTTCAAATTTTGTTTTTATTTTATTGTGTTTTAGTTTTATTTTTGGTTCTAAAAATTTAAAAACATCGTAATTGGTAAGCAAAAGTCAAATAACAAAAAAAATCATTTAAAATGTTAGTCATTACGAGATATCTTTACCTTTAATTTTCAAATAAAATAATTTTATAGTTCATTCATCGGAAATTACAATTTTAAGTTTTGCTGCCAGGATTTTAAACATTATCTTTATATAAAAAACCAAACATTCTCCATAAATTAAATTAAAATCTTGAAATTAATTTTTTTCGTGATTAAAATCACCTGCAAACAGTACACTTCCGAAAATTCAACCATTGCATGCAAAGCTGAAAATAGCATATACCTCACAGGTAAACTTTGTTTATTTGATTCTCATAATACATTTTCACAAGAAACTTATCGGTTTCCATATGAGTTGATTCATATTAAGATAGAATAAGAATCAAGTCATAAGGAAACAAATAAGTTCTTCTTTCATTAAAAATCCTATAGCACGTGTGGAAACACGAATAAATCCAACTTTTTTTATTTGATTAATGCCAATAGTTGCCATTGAGGCACTGATCCCGCACTTATTAATTGAACCTGAGCCTGCCCTAAAGGACCTCCGATCTTAGGGTGATTGTGCATTTATTAATATAATTTATTATAGAATTTATATATTAAAACAAGAAAGGAAAGCTAACTTCGGGCGGAGCCGAAGTTGATATACCCTTGCAGAATATTCTGTAAATTATATTCTCTTAAATTATTCATATGATGCATTCTTAATAGTCATAAAAATCCCAAACTCCTAACTTTACAAACACCAAAGTTATGGCATTTCCGATCAATCAGTTATATGGCGGCTATAGGATATAGCCGGCCGATCCTTATAAAATTTGGTAGGTCGGGTTGATTGGCCAAATATAAAACCCATAGAAAATCTCAACTTCCTAACTCTACAAACACCAAAGTTATGGCATTTCCAATCGTTCAGTTATATGGCAGCTAAAGGATATAGTCCATTCCGACTTATATACTGCGTGCAAAGGAAAGAAGGGTGTGTGCAAAGTTTCAATTTGATATCTTTAAAACTGAGAGACTAGTTCTCGTAGAAACAGACAGACGGACATGCTTATATCAAATCAGGAGGCGATCCTGATCAAGAATATATATACTTTGACCAAAATTATAATACCCTCTGTAAGGGTATAAAAATAAGAGAAATGCATAGGTAAAATCAAACTGTTAACACATTTTTTAACGGATAATTATCAGACGAACGGTTAGTTCGATCAAAAGGATATTTTTGAAACGGGAAAATTATGTGATAACTGGACTTAGATCTTAATCTTAATAGATTTGAGGAATCGTGAGTTCCGTCCAGTTAGTTCTAACCTGACTTTGTTATTTGGTTTCTTAAGAAATGGAAGTGTATCTTCCACAAGAATCTTATCTGTTTCCGTATGACTTGAGTCATATTCTATCTTAATATGAATCATCAAAACTCCTAAAGCACCATTTCACACGAATTCATTAAACTTTTTTATTTGCAGTTGCGTAAAAATCAAGTTTGTAAAAAATCATATTATTTTAAATATAAACTAATTTATTAATGGTAATAGTTTTATCAGACATAGGGAATACATAAGGGCACTGAATCCGCGCCCATTAACTGAGCCGGAGTTGAACATCATGCTGGCCGATAGAACCTCCGATCTTTGGGTGATCTCGTTGTGAAAGTCCTCTTCGGAGAAATCCTCCTGAAGCTCCGATTCCGTTGAATAATTCGGTAGCTCGACTGAAGAGAGAAATTAAAATGAATCAAGAGATTCATATGTAAATTTGAATTGCACTACCTTCTCCACCAGTTGCAAAACGAACGATCTTGCTGTTGTCACTCCAACCAAAACTATTTCTGGCCAAGACGGAAGCTTCGTAAAGACTGGCGGGCTGGAGGCCATGTAGAGTGTACGTGGTGATATAGATCAGTCCTAAGGTTAAGAAAAAAGTTAAGAAATAATAATACTAATAATAAAGTAAAAAAATAACATTAAATTCTGAAATGGCTCCTTGAATTTTTCATGTTATCTCTGAGAATATAATATTTAAGTTGATTCATACTTTAGGTATTTTGAATCAAATTCGGATTATTGCTTTTTTATTGTTTAGTTATTCTGGCGCTGTGTGGTTTCTTTAGAAAAAACAATTTAAAATTTATTCAGAAGTGCAAATTTCGGTGACATTTAATTAAACTGAGTTAGGAATATTGACAATTGTACTGAATAACAAATTACACTATTGGGAAAAATAATTAAAATATTAGGTGAAATGTAGATGATTTTTTGAATTTATTAATATACAATTAATAAAAAATGAAAAGAAATTCGAAGCTAAAATCAAATTATTGACAATATTTTTAACAAATTTTTATTAAATTCGTTGGACAAAATACGGTTTGATCAAAAGCATATTTTAATACACGCCAAAATAGAGTGGTAACTGGACTTATGTAGATCTCGATACCATCAACTTCAGCTCTTGTTAATAAATACCCTTACCACTTGTGGACTGCGCAGGAATCGTGAGTTCCGTCCAGTTGGTTTTAAGCAGGCGGGTGACATTGCTCGACGGGATCTGCCGGAACTTGAGCTTGAACTCCATGATGGGCAGCTGGCTCTCCGTCTGCCACACGAGGACATGCGACGTGGAGCTCTGGGTGCCCGGGTTGATCTTGAAGAGGCAGGGCATCGGGCGGCCGGTTAGCTCGACGTTCCCGCTCCTGATCCCAATCCCATTGCTGGCCCGGCACTCGTACTGCCCCATGTCGGCGTTCCGGACGCTCTTCACCACCAGCGTGTGGCGCACGGCGTTCACGTAGTGATCCAGCGAGCGGTTCGCCTGCAGCTCCGACTCGTGACTGGAGGAGTGGGCTCCCAGAGCCACGGGCAATCCGTGGTGGAACCACTTGACCGTGGCCGACGGCGCCGCCTCCACAATGCACTCCAGATGGGCACGGGCGCCCAGTTTGCTGTACACCACCGCTTGCGTCATGCTCACCTCGGGCAAAACTGTGGAGTGCGGAGAGGTCATATAATTGATTTTTATTTTTTATAGTTTCTGGCGAATCTAAATGGGTATTTCTACGACAGTAAACCTACAAGGGTATTTAAGCTATTGTAGTTACCAATAAGAATGGCAGTAAACTTCGGCCAACTAAAAAACTATAAACCCTATATCAAAAAGTATGTATTCTATAAAACGACTGTATATTAATAAATATATTAAATAATTTGTAAATCTTTCACATGAGGGAAAAAAAACTTCGACTAGCCTAAGCTTATAAACCCTTGCAGCTATAGCTGCAATATATAGCTGTTAATATTTTATGAAACCATTCTTCGATTTTTCTTCATATTTGTTAGAAATCAATTAAGTTACTTAGATTTTTCAATTCAGTTCTTTGATTGGTATAATAAATGTTATTTGCAGATATGTCAAAATAAATTTCAATTTCCGATCTGTCCTATTAAAGCTTTCTGTTATAGTCGTCCGATTTGCATAAATGTATAATAATTCAAGCTAAGGTAGCTCATGTTCTTTTTGTGTTGTTGCTTTCCACATTATAATTTTAAATCTAAATAAATTTCTTGAAAAGCTGATACTGGACAACTTACACAACACATGCAGATAGACACTGGCCACCGCTGTGTCACCCACTCCATTGCTGGCCACGCATTCGATGAGGCCGGCCTGGTTCCTCGACTTGATCTCCAGGACCAAGCTTTGGCGATTACCAGAACTGCTCTGCGGCAAGACATTGCCATTCAGCCGCCAGGTGATCACTGGCTGGGGAACTCCTTGGGCATCGCACACCACCTCGAAGGTGGCTCCAATGCGCTGCTCCGAAAGATCCGAGGGCTCGATTTTCACCTGAGGGGCTACCTGCACTTCAATGGCGTGCTGCTGCACCACATGACCCGAGTCCGAGTTCATTTCGCAGTAGTAGTCGCCGGTGTCACTGGACTGGACGTTGGCCACCTGCAGGCTGCCATTGGGCCAGAGCATTATGCGATCCAACCTCGGGATCTCCGGGTGCCTGGAATCCACCAGGGCCACATCGTCCCGATGCCAGCGGACATAGCGAAAGGGAGCTGCGTATATACATAAATAGGTTAACAAATTACCAAATGCAACAAATTATATATAAAGAAAAAAATTCAACAAATTACCAAATGCAACAAATTTTATATAAAGAACAAACTTTTGGTTTTTGTTATGTCTGAAAGTGTAATAAGGTTTAAGTCAATTTTGGCCTAAAAGAGACCACTGAGCTAAAATTTTGCTTTCGGTGCTTAGAACGTTCTAAAATTGGTTGTTATTGGCATTAACTCGACTGGCTAAGATTCCCCGAATGTTTTCAATTATGTGGTAATCACT